CACAAAGAAGACTGAGAACTGTATGCATTTCACTGGATAAATCATCCTCCAAATTTATGAAGATTTTAGACAAGTCAGCTAAAGCTTTAGTGCTTAAATGTAGGATTATAAAAAGGGAAAAAAATGGTAAAACTCGTTCTGTATGTGGAACTAAACTCTGAAAATCTTCAGTTTTTTTTATGAAAGATGAAAAAAAATGAAGTCTATAATGACAATTAAACTAAATACATCCCCTTAGGTCTTAGGAAGTCAAAGCTGTCAAGAAGACAGAAGTGCTCCAGAAAACCTAAACCCTACATTAGAAAACTGACCATTGTTTTATTTCAATTATGCCGTCAAACACTACAGCTCTCTCTTTCTGATGACAAAATGCTAATGTTAGCTTGAATACTGTCAGTAGCAAGTAGGGCATCACTAGCATGTTGTCTGTAATTGACTTACTCCATTCAGTATACTAAACATAGCTATTTCTCTTACTCTTAAGAAGTAAGAGAAATTGCTACCTTATTTAAGGTGAAAGGCCAATGTTACTGCTCTATCCTGAGAAAAAAAAGATAATGCCTATGGCAGTGCACTAGTGAGGGGCAGTGGAATGCTAATGTTTGTGCTAAACATTAGTACAAATATTAATGTGTAACAGTGGTTTGTTTGAACCAGTCACATAATGTCCAAAAGAGCAATTACCTGATGTAAAAATGGCCAAGGCTTTTATTTAGAAATTTTTATGAAGTTTCATTTTAAAAGGCCACACCAATCCCATGTGTAACAATGATTGTGTAAAATCAGTTATAAAATGCCCAAAACACAAGTAATACAACCAGTTATATACTGACCAAAACAGCAAGACGTCCTGAAAGCCCGTTTTAACTGAGGGTTCTGCCATCGTTAGAACTACAGTGATGCGTTTTTGTAGTCCTAATGGGTTCGCAAGTCAGTCACTGCTCTCCCTATGCGTTGCTATGGGAGAGCAACGCCCAATTAAGAGTTCATGAACAAATGGGACTTTGAAATGGATAAAGACCCTCATTGGACCACAAAGTTGATGACTTACAATGACCATCACAGAGTCATAATCTTTGTCCCATAGAAAAGTTTTATGGTTGAGCTTAAATGCTGTGTGAGCAACTTGGCCTACAGTAATGACCCAATTACTGTAGGTCTGGGTAATGAGCCAGAATTCAAGCAAACTGTTACATGAAGCTTATGGAAGGATAGCCAGAACATCCAACCGTTCAATAGTCATACAGTTAAAAGAAGCTAAGGAAGTTTATGTGACTTTCGTAATGTAGTCATTAAAAATAAAATAAAATAAAATAAAATAAAATCTAAAAATGATCACACACCTTTTTGGGAAATATAGATTTTGTTATCCTAGGTAACCTGAAACAGAAGATGTGTGGCTTTCATACCGTGTAAAGAAGCTCTGAGTGGATGCAAATCCTGTAGAAACTAAGCTTTACAGTTTCTTTCCTCAACCTATTAAGATGTTTTACTATGATGTTGCTAGAGGCTTAGAGCAGGCTAGCTTGATGTTTTTTCTCATCATTCTTAATGTCTTCCTTAGCATTACTGGTGTGAAAAACATAATCTACACACTTTAATAATGTGATATTAAGTCCCATGTGTGCTGCTTTTGATCTTTCCTTCACAAGTTTTCTTGTGACAAGCACACAAGATAAACCTGAAAGTTGTTCAAACTTTAAAACCCACAACTCTAAGGGTATTTTAGGGATGAGGAATGGGAATAAGAAAAACATTAGACGATCCAGATTTAGCAAAAAACATGTTTAATCTCTCCTTGATGCGTGTCTATATACAAGTAATAAATCTGCAAAATAGGAAAGAGCAGGATATTTACACAGGTGTGAAACAGCCAAAACCTGTCACAGCAGCTTCAAATCTGAAGCTCTTAAAAAGATATAATTCATAAAGTATTAAAACTCTAAGGTATATTTTTGATCCTTTCTGCGTCGCTTGTCTTTAATCTGTGAGAGGTGTTTAACATTCTCTGCTGCATCTCTGAAGCATTGGCGAGGAAGCCGGAACACTGGAAGTGAAGGAATGAGAAACCTGCGAGTGTTTTTTGGGGTCAGGAGTGTCCCACCAGAGGGCTCAACCCTACCTTAAAATCCATTGAACAACTGCACTTTCAAAATGGCTTTCAAAATGTGCAAAAAAATGTATCCTTTGTCAGAAACAGAGAAATAGCTTTAATGGCTTAGAATTAGAAAAAGCTCCAAGTTAGTACAAGTACTGTATGTTTACAGTACAAAGATTAGTCGATAGATTTCACTACGATAAAGAATCAGCTTTGACATTTTGATTTAGAGCCAAGTGGATTTTTAAAGCGCTATCTTAGCTTTATCTCTTCAAAGGTCAGTTAGTTGGCCAAACAGCTAGCCCTGCTAGCAGGAAAAGAGTTCATTATTTATAATAATGATAATAATAATATTAATAATAAAAACACAAAAAAATCAAAACACAATTTTGTTCAAAAAAAGGCTTAAAACATCTTACTAGCTTGCATTCTTGCATCTTTGCGTTTATGCTCTCATTTGCTCGCTAAAATGTTTTAAATGATCTGTTTCACCTGTTCTATCTGAATCTGTATTGATGCTTCTAATCTGTCCCTGGCTTTGCACATATAAAACAAATGAACCCAAAATGTGTAATACTAAACCTGAACAGAGCTCGGACTGCGATAGCTTAATGAACACTTACTTCAGCTGGTCACAAAACTAAACCTTCTCTTGCAAACAGAACAAGTTTATGTGACAGCTGTGTTTATGTCAGCAGAACTTTTTTCTCTTGTGGTTTGAATAATGTGGCAAAATTATCTTTAAGCCAGTTTTGGTTGAACTGAAACAAACTATCCAGTGTTTTGACTTCATAAAACCACAGATCTTTCATTTTTTCAGCTTAATGTAAAAAAAAAAAAAAAAAAAAAAAAAAACATTCCTAGTTTTAGGAGTATTTTTGGCTCAAACACACACACACACACACACACATATATATATATATATATATATATATATATATATATATATATATATATATATATATATATATATATATATATATATATATATATATATAGTGGGGCTGTAAGATAGGTGTTGTTCATTGTTCACTTTCACCTTTCTGTACCTTTGTCTTTTTAAATAAGAAAATTACTTATGTTAAAAACTATACGTTTGAGAATTGTGTTGGTAATTTCACACATTAAAATTATTTGTCTGTTTCCTCTTTTCTTTTTCTGACAGATAAAAAAGAAATCATTTCCTTTATGCTGTTTGAAGCAACATTGTACCAAGCCAACAAGGCACATTGTTGCTATCAAGAGACCAACTCCCTCAGTCCTTTTTTAAGACTTTCTTTTTTCTCTAAAAAGAACAATGACCCAAACAGATGTGAAAAAATCAAACATGAAAAGGTACTATGGTCTTCAAAGCAAATTCCTGTGCCTCAGATGAGTTTTTAAAAAATCTTTTACCTTAACCCAATGTGAAGCAGAGAACAAGACGCAGTATAGGTAAACAAAATATCACTTTTTTTTACTGCCCACAAAGGAGATCAGGGGTAAACCTAACTAGTGTTTCAAGATTTTGAAAACAATTTATAGCATTTTCCATTTAAAGAACAAGTGAATATACATTATATGGTTCACATCCCGAGATGGTTTCATTACTCAATGAATATCTGTACATGGAAGTGATAATGCGTAAGTTTGACCAAACTTCTAGAAAAAGGAAGAAACATTAAGCATTTTAAATAATTCAAAAATCCAAAACAGTGAAAATTGCTTTGTGGAAGAACTGAAAATCAGACGTTTTGATGTTAACTACCTCTCATGGTTGCTTTCCTGGTGTGGATGACTGTAAGCTTTGGTCGGCTCGCTCTGCATGTTTCGTTTTTTTTACCCTGTAAGTCAATGGTTCAAGTATCAAAGCCCATACAGAACGATTCCATGGGTCTGGACACACATCCAGGTTATCAGATAAACAGAGTCCTTCAGGTTCATGGCAGGCTCAGCAGAAGATGAACACAAGGTCTTTAAAGGGTTTGCATAAAATATAGAGAATAGCTGAGATCATGTAGTTGAACGCTGTTATGTAGCTGAAAGCAGCGGTGTGAATCCAGTTTTGTGGAATAGGTGTATGAGTTAAAAAAAAAAGAAAAAAAAAAACGGTAAAAGCCAACCCTGCTGGAATGAATGAGCATTTGCTGATTTTCTAAACCGTACAACGAAATGCGTGTGGATTTATGCAGATTGAACAGAGCATATTGTGACATTTTGATAGTAATAAGCCACCATCAGCTCCTGTCTGCAACCAATACACTGTTGAAGTCACACATTTATATTTAAATTTCATCTTTTCATCTTGCTCAAACATACAAGCAGGTGACCACAGACTTTCCCAAGGGTGGAAATCACTACTTGTGTCAAATGAACAGTTGTTGGCTTCCTGTTTAAAGCAGCTGTGACTGAACAATTATCACACAGGAAGTGTCTCACAGCGTCCAGAGATTTTTTTCATGGTCACACTTTTCAGTCTGTATCTTTTGTATTTGCAGCAATGGAAAAAGCAAACTCGTTTTATCACGTTGAATTGGTGCAAACATGCAGATGAAACGCAATCAAATTTGCGACTTGGTCTTAAACCTTGTCGCAAATGTCAATGTCCATTTGTAGATTTTAGATTTTCCAGCTGCTGCACATCAAATTGATCACTACAAAACATAAAATGCACGTGTGTACTTTTCCAGGTGACCAGACCCACAACTGGTGGGAGACAGGATTGTACAAACTTGATTCTTAAGAAAGTCTTAGTTCTGGTTTAATGTTACTAAAAGCAAACACAAGCTTCTGCCTTATCCCCCTGGAGGACTCGGATAAAATATCTTTTCAAGGGGAATAAATATGCAGGAAGCACTGCTGAACTGGAAGAAAACATTTGTTTTTGAGGTATTAATAACGGTTTCTTTTGAACAAGTAATGCTCAGCAGAAGAATTGAGCTTTATTTACTCCACAGATTTGTTTATAGTGTTCTCCACTATTCCTGAAAAAGATAAAAACCATTTCAAAAGATCCATTTTATTGCAGTAGAATGATCTCAGATGGGTTTTTTTATTCAATTTGAGTAAATTTATTTAATGAAAAAAGTAAAATAAAAAGAACTTTTTATCAAATTCAAGGGTGCCGCAAATATTTAAGCACCTGCTGTGATTACTTTGTCATGTGACATGTTTAGTTTTTTTTTGCCAGAGCTGCCATTTATTGGATGGTAAAGTATACGTCATAAAATACCTTCCAAATCACCGAGTGGCAAGCAGGTCACAGTTTATTGGTTGATGACCCCAAGATGACCCTTCTCAGATCCCGTCCACACAGCAACATTTTTTTTTCTCCTAAGATGGGAAACTGTTTAATTGTGAAATTTAATTGTGTAAATAATCTTTTTGGTTCAGTTTTAACAGGATTCAGAGTGAAGATTTGTCTCATGTGAATCCCATGTGGAGAGTTAAAACACTTACATATACATAACTGTTGGGAATTATTTGTTATTCCCAACACATAACACAATATGCTGGAAACGTAAATAGACTTTCCCCGCAAAATGAATGTGAGACCACATTACTGCAATAAAAGATGAATTTCTATTAGAGCCTTTTACACTTTTACCAGAGGTGCTAACAACCAGTAACCAGTAAAATTAACATATTTGTGGGATCTAATTTTGTGATTTGTATTGTCTGCCTTTAACATGTTGATGGATGGCTGAGTTTGTTGTTTGAACTTTGTGAACAGTTTCAACCCTTTCCCTCCGTTTTCCGTCCCTCTGAAGAAACCGCACCTGAAGCAGAACGAGATGCAAACCAACAAAATGACTTTCAAAGCACTGAAAGTTAATGTGCTCCAGCAAACTGTGCAAGGAAAAATATCAGGATGTTTTTTTTTTTTTTTTAAGTTCTTTTTACCTCTATAAAAACTATAGAAAACATAAAGAAAAAGGCCTTCAACTTGTACAAAAACACTCACATATTTCAAGCTACATTTCATTATCTTTTTGAAAAACCACAGTCACATTTGGAAAAAAAAAAGGGCCTTTTACGCTTTACAGGCTTTACTTTGATAAAACTGATTCACTTTTCTCTGCACAGCGACACTATCCTTCAGTGGAGCGGGCCCATAAATCGCTTCAGACGAGAGAGGAGGTCTAGAAACAAGACCTAGAAGTTACACAGATCCCCACCCGCTGCCTCCAGGTCTACGGCACAGCATGAGGCGACCTTCAACACCAACGACTCGTCTGAAACGGCTGATCCTGATCTATTTGGTTTCTCTAAAAAATCAAAACAAACAAAAGCAAACACAAAAGCTCTGTAGGTCGGTTTGGCTCATCTGTGGCTTCCAGACATCGTTTGTCTTTTTACAATCTTCGGAGTCACAGCACACAGCGGCCGCCAAGGACTCAGGTAACATAGAGAGCGTCTGTAATATATTCTTATATTTCTGCCATTTACCTGTTTTTAAAACTCTCAGTCACTAAGCATGACAACATGATCAAATTAGCACATTTTATCTAACAAAAAGAAGTCTCTTTGCACTAAACGACATTCAAAGTAAAACATGGCACAAGACAACTTTTTCCTTGTGTTTTCATAATCTTTTTTTTTCATCTAGGAAATATCAAATTTTCTGAAACATCTTTTGTACATTGAAATGGAGGAAAAAAAGTTCAACTTTTTGATTCGTTTTAAAAACAAAGGGTTGTATTTATATATCTATATATATATATTTAATCATATATCCTCTTCTCTCTTTTGATTTAGCTTTTGTTGTGCAAATTCAGCAGTAACACAAGTGGCACAGCACTGGGGAGAGAAAAGAATCAGATGCAATGACAAATTAAATGTAGCGTAATGGGAATTTTTTTGTTGGACTTCAGAGGCGTGTTTTGTTTTTTTCTTCTTTTGTTTTTTCCGCCGACAGAGACATGGAGAGTCAAACCAGAAACGGGGGACGTTCTCGGGTCGGTCCTCCGTCCCCATCGTTTCTGCGGCTTCCTGAAACGTCTAAGTAAATCTCTGCTGGGATTTCCCACCGCCGTTCTGCAGAGTCCCTGATGTTTCGTCTCCCCTGCTCCCTACGGAGGACAGCAACAGAAAGGGGATCAAGTAGAGCGATGAAATCTCCTGGATTTTCGATGACTCACAGGCCAAACCATTGCCGTGGCAGTGGAAAGATACCAAGTGGTGGCCTGTACCTTCTCTGCAGGGGTTCCAGCTCCAGCTAAACCAGTTTTGTTTCCTGCTCACCTGTTTAAGCTCAGGTCCACATTAGCTGAGGCTAAGAGTTGCTTTTGATTTGGCTGATCAGAGTAAGAATTGCGGCTCAGAGAAGAAAGTCAAACTAAATGTGGTGACCAAACAGTCTGCTGTCCCTCCGGCATGCCGCTGCGTCGCCCGTCTCCCTCCAGCCTCATTCCCACCACTGTGGGGGAGAGGGGCGGTCTGCGAGCGTGGTGACAACAGATTTCAAAACGTTGTGAATGGAAATGGATGTCAGACGAGGAGAGGGGAAGGCGTGTGGGTTAAGCCAAGTTCTGCACTAGTTGAGGTGTCTGATCGGCCGGCCCTCAGCTGGCCAGGGCCATTGTGTCGATGACCTGCTCTAGCTTGCCACGTAGCCGCTGCCTGCGGGACTGCTCGTCCTTCTGGAGCGCCGACAGGATCTGGAGGCAAAACAAGGCAGAGAATCACCATGAGCACAGCCGCTGATTAGGAACCTACAACAAGCTGCATGAAGTCTGCGTGCTGCAGATGACACTTGGTTCCATTTGCATGTTTTCAGTTGCAATTACAATGTTGATGACAACGCTGACGGGGTCAGCAGGTTCAGGGGTGAGGACCCACAGAACCTGTGTAATTGCATAGTAATTGCCACTGAGAGTGTGCGTACGGCAGCGTGTTGATCTATCCAACGGGTCGTTTTCCCAGGAAGCGGAGGAGCTGCTGCGAATGTCTACGATTTCCAAATGATGTGTGGAAGCACATTAGCGAGTGCATGCAAACATTTTCAGCACATATTTGCATGTTGGCGAGTGTGTGTGTGTGGGTGTGGGTGCGTGTGTGTGTGGGGGTGTGTGTGTGTGTGTGTGGGGGTGTGTGTGTATGTGTGTGTGTGTGCGTGTGTGTGTATGGCTGTAAGGTCAGGGCACGTGTCTGAGGCGACGGCACCGTGCAGCTGCCTACATCTGGATAATAGGCTGTAATGATGGGGAGCAGTTGGTTTGAATGCAGCCAGCTGCAACCAGACAGAGTGACTACTGTAATACTGCTGCTATAAACCAACAGAGAGGAGGGAGCGGCATGCTTCTCAAACACACGCACACCCCCCCACACACGCACACATGCAACAGAAAGACACAAATAAAGTGGTATTTAAAGTGTAGATTTAGTTTGTTGAATCAGGATAAAACTTTTAGTAACTGTTGATTTTTGGAGGTTAATAACTTGAAAACAACAGCAACACCAACAATGTGTTTCATTCATGTTAGGTTTGTTTACAAAAAGAAAATAACCATGTTGGGATTTTTGGTTTTAGTGTTTTTAAAAACTAAATGTGAAAATGTAAAGAAGGAATAATTAAGCATCCACAGTGTTTGATTTTTGCTTCAGCCGTCTAAATTTAACATACGCAGTTAAACACAATTGTTTAAAAAAAAAAAAAAAAAACATAACAATACTGGAAACGACTGAAGTCACCAAAGAAGAAGAGTTTTATTCACGATAAACTCGTCAGCTGAGATGTACAGCATCAATTTCCTCTAAAAAAGCCCAACAGGATGAGTCTTGTGTTGCTTCCATAGTGCAAAGTAAAAACATAAAGCTTGTTTTTGCTTTAACCACAAATCAGAGAAAACAAAAATGAAAAATAAAAAGATAAACAACTCCAAGTCCAGGGCGAGCCTGGCTGACTATAGCAATATCCCACCAGTCCCACCCAGACCACCAGCCCTGCTTCTTCTGCCTTTAACATCTCCCTTAGAGACAGAGTTGTTTTTATCACAAATATTGATTTATTTATTTTTTATTTTAATTTTGTGAATCCTTTCTTGTGAATCTGGGAATAAACCCAGTTATTTTGGAAATAAAAGGTTTAAATAAAGCAAAGCAGTAAAGGAAATAATGTTGGCCAAAATGAATCCAGCAGGAAGTTGTATCTTTTGACCTGGAATAATTAATAATATCATTAAAATGTTCAAAACAAAGAGACTAATATAAAACTGTTTTATGATACTTTAGCTGGGATAATATAAATGTCTTCACTGAGAAAAATAAATTACATTTGTATAAGGAAACATCATTAGCAGAATAAAATATTTATTGATATAAACAAACGTCAGACAAATCTGACAGACTCTAGTAAACAGTAAATGGCTTTTATGATGATATTAAAGAAAAATATAGTTGGAATTTGCCAGTTCAAATTACAGTCTTTAAACAGATCTTTACTCTCATGATACATCCGTCACATTTAATTAGTCAAAAACAGTGTTTCTCTAATGATGCTCACACTGCCTAGTCTTCATTTCCTTCTTCTGCCTCAGAGCGTTATGGTAACAGCACATAATGGTATCATCTCAGCATATGCTACAAAAAAGTACATTCATAAAAAAAAAAATAAATAAATAAAAATCAGGTTTGATTTAGTTTTTGTCCTCTGGCAGCAGGTGTTATTTTCTACAAATTTTGAACAAAGAACAAGAAAAAAAAAAAAAAGATAAATTCTGTAAAGCTTCATTAGGTTCATAATGTGTTGAGCTCACGCCTTAATGTGCATCCTAATGGCGCTAATACCTTCCAGCCTGCACCCATGCAGATTGCTTATCAGTGTAATTGAATTAAAATGACCTCATGGTGTTACTCAAGACAAGTGAAGGCACAGTCCATCCATCCAGCTGCTCATTACGCCTCGCTCTCCATATTCAGAGGGCACTCACCTCGTCTTTATATTTGATGATGTAGGTGTAGATCTCATGCAGAGCAGACATGCTGTTGAACTGGTCGAGGTGCAGGCGCGACTGCTCCGCTAAGTAGGCACTCATGTCCTGATCGCTGATTGCTGGCATACGGGAAATATCCGAGTAATATCTAGAAGAGAGGTCAAGCAGAGTTATGTTTGCCGTCATCCAGAGCTCGGCTTCCTCAAAAGTGAAACAGAAAGAGGAAAAGCAACAAGAGGTTGTGCAAAAGCCAAGCGAGACGAAAAACTTCAAATACAAAATGTGCTTAGAGATGACTTTATTTGAAAAGATGGGGGATCTCTAAGGTAACCAAGGCCACTGAGCTAAACTATAGCATAAAATAGAAGTAACAGGAATAGTTGGTGAGCAATATAAACTTTCGGAAGTTTTACCACCATACTTTGTGGTAATATTGTGATAACAATAAAAGTGACAATAAGAACTGTGAATTACTTTGTTTTCAGCTAACTGTATAGCTGTGACTGCATAGCACAGCAGTCACATCACACATAAACGTTGCTCCTGAAAAACATTCAGTAGGACACTAGAAAAGTTGTGTTTGAATCACTAAACAGGATGGATGGGTTTGGTGTTTGAACATGTAAACCTGGTTGAGAGGCTGCAGCCCGTCCAACACATTTGAAAGAAAGAAATAGATGACACAAGTTTAATATTTACCATCTCAAGATGAAAACCAGAAATTTGTGGAATGGCAAAAAACAAAAACTAAAAACTCCATCTCTTGCACCTTTAGCACATGATTCAACGATGCTTCAATCTAACTTGATTCCTGAAAAGTTGCCTTTGCTCATTCTGAAGCTGAATTAAAGATAAGTAGGCCACAGAAGTGAAGAGATTTAGATGCTTTCATCCTTACTTGTTGCATACAGAGCAGAATTCAAAGAACGCGGCTTTTACTGATACTTTAGGCTCCCTGAAAACGCTATAATCTATATTAATAAGCCAGGAGTAAGGCAGCAGTAATTACAGCACATAATTCCTTTGCCGTAATTTAATTCAACTATGTATTTATGCTTTAAATGCCTGCAGCAGCTAGAGTTCAACCTATAATGTTGTTCTAATCTTACACTGCTTAATAGTGTAATTAACTTTGATCTTATAGCTCAGCCTCATTTTCCTACCTTCCAGCAGCAAAATGGATATATTTTCCACTTTGACTTCAGGGTTGTAGATTTGTTGCTCACCTCTGGTCAGATTTAGTAAGTTTGAGGCTAGCTTTGCACAGGTTCACCTTGGACGTACCTCTCCACCCAGCTCTTGTAGTTGGGGATGTCTTTAGCGTAGAGGAGCTTATTTGAAGGCGAGTCTTTCCCCAGTTTGTGCTCAGACGTCGAACACGAGTCCATGAAGGTCTGAGCCACAACGGACAGGCAGGCGTCTGTGATGCTGTTTTTATGGATGTCGAACACAAACTGAGGATTCTTGATCACATTCACCCAGAACCGCAGAGGAAGACTGGAGGCGGCAGAGCAGAAGACACCCAAATAACGTTCAAGTTTCTGGTTTAGGCAAAACATGAAACCAAGACAAACCGAGTAATTCAGTAAAAACACAAGAAAACAAATAACCCCAAAACATATAGTTGAATCACTTGGAGCAGTGGTTAGGCCTGTCACAATAACAGATTGTCTCAAAACATTATTGTGATAAACGATAATATTGTTTGAAGACCTTTTTACACTGATTTAATGGAAATTACGTAATAAACCATGCGATTTCCTGCCAAAGATAGATACACTTTACTTTCAAAAGAACACTTAACACTGGAACTGATACACAAAATAAATAAAACCAAAAACAAAAATAAAATAGATTCTCAGTCTTCATAACAATAAATGTACTTGAATAAAAACTAAACATAAAGCCAAAGTGGAAATAAATACTGCATTCAACCAAAAGAGTGCAGATTTTTTACCTTGAATGACAATCTTAGAACGAATTGTCACTTGTGTTGTGTGTTACTGTCACTTGTGTTGTGTGTTACGGTAGATCGTCGTGGCCGCTCCGATCTAAATCAAGGATTTATCCAGACTGGGAGATGAACGCAGCCTGTTGAATGTGACCGGTAGCCAATCAGAAAGCGCGGATTCTCCTCCTGCTTTCTGAGGGGAAACACGGAGGGAATCCCAAACAGCTGACACGATGCAACCCGAAGTCCAGCAGACATCGGAAACAACATGAATGTTTATTCAACAGTTCGTACAAAGAAAAGCTGTTGTTCGTTAAGGTGACATAAATAGGTTATATTGATTTTCATTCAGTCGGGACTGAAGTTGAACCTTTTTTTCATTCAGTGTCATCAACAGTAGGAGAAAAAGGCAGGAAGAAACAATATAGCCAATAATTGAAATGAGGTCGATAGTTTTAATTTATCCTGCGATTAATTGATTTATCGTTTATCGCGACAGGCCCAGCAGTGGTGGTATTTACAGCCTCAACGACAACTCATTGCATCATCATAATCTGGATCAAGTGAACGTGATCCAAACGGACTTCTCTTCAGAAAATGCAGACAATGCTCCTCAGAAAGACATTACTATTGGTTCTATTTGTTTTTATTAGCTTCCTTCTTCTTGTTACGACCTTGAGATAATGCTGATGGCTGCCATTGCTGAATAACTTCATGTTGCTCCAGTGACAGTGGTGTCCGGTATTCCTCCCATAAGCAGTTCCCTGCTGCTTGACGTCTATGTTCTGTTTTGCAAAGCTTCGTTTTGAGGTCGTAAACTGTTCGCAGAGAGATCCCATTGCGGTTGCAGAGTGTAATATGAGCAAAAGAAATGAATCTCATCTGACCAAAGCACACAATCAGAGTTCCAGTAGGTGACTGAGGTGTTTTACTTTAAATGAGTCGGCCAAAGAATGTCTACAGCATTATATTCTACACCTCTTAGAAACAGCTTTTTGTCCTCTGGAATTTATTTTAATAAACTTAACCCAATTAGAGGGCAAATTTAGCACTGACCCTTTTTTTTTCATGGCTTCCAGTCTAAAGAAACAACCAGCCCCGTTTCTCACCAGTTGCTCTTCCAGGTGTGCCGTACATCGTAGTCGGTGATGGAGTGCTTGTCGGCTTGCTCGTCCAGAAAGTCGAACATGTACTTGATGGCCAGTGGCAGCGCGCTGCCTCTGTGAGCCGTGCTGAAGATGGTCTCAAACAAGTCATCCACAAACTTCTGTAATGTACCCTGGAAAAAAAAAAATGGACACAGAGAGTTAAACAAAGAGACATGTATATAGAAACTTAAATTATTTCGAGAGAGATTTAATCATGAACTATAAAAAAAACATATTTTTTGCAGGATGTTTCAGTTCTCAAAACTCTTCATTTTCATAATCTTGTGTTTGAATTGACAGCTCTCTTCTTGGCTCCAAATTTCCTGTCAATCAGCCAGAGTCAACAGTTTTCAATGCTCTGAAATGAATAATTACATTTGTACACCATTAATTCCTTCTCCTCATTTATTGATTCTAAGCTTTTTCCCACTACTACTGCAATTAATTACATTTTTTGAGCTACAATGTGAATTATACATCATCCATAAAACCAGTCATCCTTCAACAATCAGAATTTCCCACCATTTTGCCAGTGGTTGTATTTTTTTCAGCCCCAGTTGAGTTAATTTCCTGTTTGAACCTTGAGCATTGAGTAACTGTGTTTCACACGCAGATTAGTGGCCTAAATGGCTCAGAGGTGTTTGGCATTAGCGTTTGAAATGACAAGCTAAAGAGCAGAAACTGGGTGCTCATGTCTGACAAGCTCTGTGACATTTTAAAACAGATGGTGTCGCCTTGTTAATCCTTCTGACCTTTGTTTTATTGAAAAGGGATTTTTTTAAAAAACATTTCTGTTACTTGTCTTCTGCTCAGGTTTAATATTTAACATATCAAATCAACCTTTAGCTCAGAGAACATTTTGAAAAAGAAAGGCAAAACTAAAGACCTTATCAATAATATGGTTCCATTTCCAACCTGACTGGCTCAGTAATGTGGGGAATCTTACAACCATTTCACATTACTTTGCATCCATCTGACTCTATGGAATTGCAGACTCAGGTATCATCATTGAATCTGTCTGCATCTGCCACAATAAGCAATAGTAATGTTTCTTGAGATCATGCTACATTATGCAGATTGTCTGTCTGCGATGGTGAAGACTCACTCATCTCAATGAGGAAAACAGCAGAACAATTTTTTCAAAAGTTAACTAATGTTTATTTGAGCTCTTGTGGGCGGTCCTACACCATCAACAGGACAGTGAACTTTTAACCCCATACTAGCTAAAGTAACGTATCCCATCCAGAATGTAACAGAACACACTGAATGTTACATATTTTATCTCAAATTCACATGCTATGTGTGAACTGTGAATTTGTTTTAGAAACGCTTCCATTCTTTTCATTTAAACCCAGACTCAAGTATTTCTGTGTTTGTCAACATGTTTAATAATATGATACAATGTGACAGCAGGTTTAGTTCAAATTAGACTGACAATCATTTAATATTTAATGGATTCCCAGCATACAAAAGTTAAATTCAGCATAAATAATTAAGCTTAAAAAAGCTTTTGCCTTTTGGAGAATCCATCAGCAATGGTTGAGTAGCATTTGTAACTACAACCCTCACGCCCCCCCCAAAAACAAACAAACAAAAAAAAAAAATTCCCAAACAGGAATAAAAGTGCTGGAATCTGCAGAGACAATATGTCCAGGCTGCTCGCCACAGAAAGTCGGTGATGTTGAGAGGACAGGGATGAGATTTGCTTTTCAATTGAATTTACCAATCTGTTTTTTTTTATTTTCATCATGCATGACCAGATCTTCAATTCCCTAACAAATTGCCTGTCTCCTGACATCCCCGGTATCAACCTCCCTGCACCCCAAGCCCAGCCTTTATTAATCTGTTTCTCTTATTGCCAGTGGAAATTGAAAGGATGGTTCTGTTGTAACTGCTGCCCATTGCTCTATTTACCTTCCCCGATCGACAATTAAATAAGAGATGGAGAACTGGGAGACAGCGAGGGACATATGGAGAGACATGCTGAAAGATTCCCACAGAGAGAAGAAATTTCAAACTTAAAATATGTATCTTGGGAATTTGTCAACATTTCCACAAAACCAGTATTGTTGAAGAAATTCAGCAGCTGTGATAGCCAGTTTTCAGTTTTGTAATCATTTTCACAGGAAAAGTAAGATTCTTTTACTTACTTTTAAAATTTTAAATGATTTGGAACTTAATTACTTAACTGTTCTCCTTAACCTTTAAAAAAGTGTTTTTCAAAAATTTTCCATCACTGCCCCTTCATTTTTGTGTTGAAAAGTTTATAAATCTCTCTTGAAAAATAATTTCTTTAAATTGGTGGTTAATTTGAGTTCAATCTGAGTTTCATAAAATCTGTTTGGTTATGGTCTCCTGTAATTACATTTCTTTTTTTTTGTTTTTGTTGATTTCATTGTTGTTTTTAAATGTGCTATATACATACATATGACATTTACACTCAGTATATGTGTTTCCAATGAATATATAATTGTGCAAATTGAAATTATGAAAATAAATATGTTTAGTTGATGCATCTAAATTTAAAAAAAAAAGAAAGAAAGAAAAGCTTTTGCTACAAAGTTTTTGTGCTCGCATGAGACGGTGTTTCAGCCATGTCACTCTGGATCACTGTAACATGGAAGATGTAAGAAAACAGGTGAGGTGCATCGTGTTCTCTTAAAACCGATATTAATGAAATTAGTTATAGTCCAGTGTAGTTGAACGGTTTCAGGTTGTGTTCTTGCCTGTCTGTGTTTTACCTTTGTGGCCAGCAGCCTGGTCAGGTAAATCTCAGAGACCATCTTGCTCCCTCGGTCCCCTTCCCTCTGGTCCGAATGGTCATGATTCTTCACCAAATGCCACAGTTTGGTGCCGCTCTCCAGGTCTGGTGTGATCATCGGCGTTCTGGACCGCAGGCTGTCCGGACTGCTGGCCGTCCTCAGCATGCTCTCTAAACAATCAAGAGAAAAGATGATCTACCAGGAACCAAAATGATATTGCTCAGAGGTCGGTGATTTCAACAGAATCACAGTCTTCCATCAAAATATTCCTCACTCATTTTTTTTTTCTTCTAGCCTCTGTGTCTGTTTCATTATTTATAGTGTGAGTGTCAAAGCTGATTAGAGTGAAGCAGTGAGATATCTGCAACAGTTTCTTCTACAATAGAAAAGTCTGTGTCTGGGGTGCTGCTGCAGAGGTGGGGTGAACAGAGGAACACGATTATGATTATCTGCTCAGTAGTTGTTGCTCCCGGGGCCAGAAAGCAGGAGGCAGAAGCCGATATGTGCCACAATCACTTTTGTTGCTTGAGAAAGGAAAAGTGCGTGAGAAGAAGAGCTGAAACAGTGGAGGAGCTGACAGGGAGAGGTGGGTGGCCGGCTAAATGGAAAGAGAAATTAAAAGGTCAGGAGAGAAGGGGGTAAAAGGGAGAGTAATAGAACAACATGGGATAGAAAAGTGAAAGACTGGGTGGTGTACCTGCTTTTGTCAGCAGGATTTAACTCTAAACTCATCATGACCATGGCTGGCCGATTATTTTCCCCTCACATGCACATCTCCTTCCACAAGAACAAGCAGATTATCATGTTCAAACAAAAACAGAGCCTTAAGTAATTGCAATATATCTATGACATATAGTAGGTGTGCACTATAAAGTGGCACTAACATCATTGTCAACTGATATTAGTTCAGAGGATAAGAACTACCCGCGGTGGGTGAGAAGGGATTTTTTTCAATTATTTATATATATATATATATATATATATATATATATATATATATATATATATATATATATATATCTATATATATATATATATATATATATAATTCTCATTAACAATCTACTGTACTAAAACATCCTGTCTCTGTCTGGTGTGAGATAAAGCCTCATATACTTTGACTACACTTGTTTGTGATATAAAATTCTGCCACCCATGTTATTTTTTAGATCTCCATCAAAAACTTAATAGGTGATCCGAATCATCCGACTTTCAGCTGGAAAATGGATCATTTTCCAATCAGTCAATGCACCAAAGACTCAATGTTTTGATTGTGTTCAATGTTACGCAATGAAAGTTCAAAGTTTGTTGGTTTTACTATCACTAACGTGAATTCAGAAGAAGCTTGGAAATGTCAGAAACTGTTTCAAAGTAAATTTATTCTCTGTCGCATGTCTGCAACTTATATGGCTGTAAAAGTGCAAGAGAGAGAGAATCAAATTCATCTATTGTTTTTTTGTTATTCAAAAGGTTTAATACAACTTAATCAAATTTAGCTTTGGGATTTCAATTACTTTTGAACAATACTGTTTAAAATAAGTTAAACTCACACAGGCATTCGCAAAATGCCTGAAATCACTCACTGGTAATTTCTTTAGACACCAGAAGATCTGACGGAGAAAAAAAAGTTAGCTTCCTGTCTGTAATTCCAGCTTCCCGCCTCAGTTGTTAACTTTTGCAACAACCACCTTTACCAAAACAACCACCTTTTTGGTAAAGGTGGTTGTTGCAAGAGTTAACAAAACCCAATCTGCACCAGACAAGGGTTTTTTCTTGGTTTGTTTCCACAGGGTAATTTATTCTGTAAATAATTTGATTTTCCAGTGAAGCTTACAATGCTTGGGCTTCTATCTCTGTGACTTTCAGGTGTCCTTTCTCTTTTTTACCCTGTCAGCCAGAGAGCGAGGTGTCTGCTTTAATGCCCGTCATTTATGGACTGCTTTGGCAATAGCCACGGAATAGCCTTGGCCTCGGTTGATGGCAATGGATATAAAGGATTGCCATTCACTCAGGCGGGTGGGGAGGTAAGAAAAAATGGGTCCCAATCACGACCCTGACAAACAAAGAGTGAATGAAAGAGAGCTCAGACTTGTGGAGGGACGAGAGGCAGAGAGAGAAATCATTGATGGAATGATTCAAATGGAATGGAGCTGAGAAAAGAAAGCGAGCCGCACCGTATCTGCTGAGGCTCTTTGTGAAGGTGGAGGAGTTGGAGATGTTGTACGCAGAGTTCTGCTTTGGCACCAGGGCGATGACTGAGCCATCTGTTACCTGCACAGCAAACACACACACACACACACCTGCGTGTGAATCTCTTTCAGTGGATTGTGTTTATGTGCACTTGTTGTGTGTTTGCTTACCTGATAGTGAGCTAGTGTGTTGAGTCTTTTCCAGTCATTGTCGATCTTGGTCGTCACGTCTTCGTCCTGTAGAATGATTCTGGCCATCCGACCCTGACGCCATTCTTTTGAAGAGGGTAAAGAAGTTGGAAGCAAAGAGAAGAGGGTTTATATAAATACCAGCGCAGGGAAAGGGTTAGGGTTAGTTAGAGAAAGTTTGAAATCATTATTGAATATGTGAAGCGGGAAAGTTAAGAAAGATTAATACAATTTTATTCTTATTGTTTATTGCTGACAGAACCGCATGGCTTACCAAGGTCCATATCAGCTGCCTTTGGCCTTTGTGAGTAAGGGCTGCCTTTGTACACGGCATCAAGCAATTTCTCCTTGACCTGAGTGATGGTGTCACAGTTCAGACACTTGACCGTCACCTCTGAGGCATTTTCATTCTCCGGGTTAACGCAGTGCAGCGTCTGGCAGAAAAAAACAACAGGGCAGAAAGCATGGTTACAAACAGATGCTACTGGGCCTAATCAGGAGTGCTTCATGCTAACTACCAGCTGTTGAGAGGTCTGTATGGTTGTTCAGGTGGATGTGAAGGTACCTGACGGCATTTTTACATCTATGCAGCAGCCACTTCAAACCTTGGTTGAACTCCCGGTCTGCTTGGACCGACTGGATCCAAAATAACTCAACATTCACACTTGATTGTCGACCAAAACAACTACTGGGGAACCTCATGTGCCTCATTGTGTTTCCAGTCCAAAGTATGAGTGCTTTGTTTTGATAGACAACATAGTTAGCACTGGGCAGAAGATGAGTCACTTCATTGCCAGATCACATCCCTCTACCAAACAGCGCAGGTACTGAAGAGCCATGTTTACCATGGAGGGAAGCTGAGCATACTCCTCACTAATCAGGGAAGCAGTCTTCTGCAGTCAGACAGCTGATTAGTGTGACTAAAGCTCAGTAACCCGTCAAGTGACTGAGACCGAACAGGCCCCAAGACGCAGGAAGTTTACTGACCAATGTTTTGTAGTCAATCTGTTGCCTGATGAGTTTGTCCTCGCTGAGGGAGTAGCGGGCTTCTCCTGTGATGGCGTCAATGGGTCCCTTCTCCATCTGCTGCTTGATGGCACAGTACAGCATGAACAGAGGCTCGCCGGCGCACTCCTGGTGAGGGAGGAGGCACAAGGATATCAGAGTTATCTCACCTCAGGCAAAATGGGATTTTCCTCAAGCTGGAATCATTTCCAGCTTGAGAAGGGAAGCTGGAAATAAAATCTGTAATTCAGCATGAAAGGGACAAAAAAAAAACTTGAGGTAAACAGTTTGCTGGAGTACTTGAACACCTCAAAACTCCTGGAATAAAATGAGCAAAACCTGTTTTTAATTTTGTTCGACTGTGTTTGAATCATGAGGTCAAGAGGTGATTGCTGTTTTAGGAAAATCTAATTAATAATCTATGAGAAAATAAATTACATAAAATGTAGGAGATTAAATAGTCCTGGCACGACAACAGATAAGACCTGATTAATGTATTGAAGGCCAACTTAAATTTATCCTAATGAATATAAGATATATTAAGACTTCAAGATGAGCTGACACCCTGTTCTACAACAACCTCAGTCTCCAGACCTAAAGCTAATGGAAAACTTGTGTGGTACAACCACAAGAGATGATTCAGGACTGCTGTTGTTCAAAGGGAATCTTGAATATTTGTGTTACCTGTCCAAAATTATCCACAGATCCTTGAAAAGGTTTGCGTTTGAGTTTGTCTTGAAATGTGAATGATAAAGTTGTTACGTAAACTCTGTTCCCTCTGGACTCGACTAAAAGCTGTTGAGCGTTTGCTAGCAGACACAGATGTCACACTGTAAGTATGCTTCGTACCCTCCTCCCTCCATCACAGACACTTGCCAATCAATAGTGTCATTAGTCATCACTTGGGCCTGAGGAAAAGTCCCCAGCTGATGGAGCAGCAGTTTAGATGGAAGAAGGAGGACACATCACGGCCAACACTCATCCTGACAAGAGTTTAATGACTGACTGCGCTGCTTGGGGAGATACTTCAGACTGGCTGGGTGTGTGTGCATGTGTGTGTTTTGCTTCAGATGAGAACAAGGAGGGAAAGTACAAATTTTTCCATCTCACCTTCAAGCATCCTCAATAACTTGTTTCTTTTTTTCCAACACACACATTTGCACTTTTCCCCTTTTAACATCAGTCCACAATGTCCTATTGTCGTTCCATTTTTGTTGTACTTCATCTCTTGTATTCACTCTTTACTTTTAAAAATGAAAAGAAAATGTAACTCTATTTCAGTTGCTTATTGATTTATAACTTTATGCTGACTTTTTTAGCACGGTTCAGATTTATAAAAATGTTGGAAAACATTTTGGATTTTCCTCTTATGTCTCAGTTTTACTTTACTCTCTTTACTCACATAAAATCCCGATAAAATATATTAAAAAATGTCCTAATTTCACAAAATGTAAAAGAAAGGGTTGAGAAAACTTTCACGAATCATTTACATATGAATGAAAGTTATTTCAAAAACAAACTTTAATGATCAAACACTTGTCATTTCTAAGTTCAGTCCGGTCAGATCTGCTGCCTGTCTCTCCTTCCTCGATTTTCTTTTCCTGTTTTACTAACGTCTGATGACGATGACGCAGCACAGCCCATCTTCAACCTTTTCTTGTCCTCGGCCTCCTTAGTCCCTCGTTCCATCTACATGAGTTTCAAGAAGCTTGTTTGCATCAGGGCCAATTAAGCAGGCAGCTGCTGAAGACACCGGGGTGTTACGCTTCTGCATTCGCTGGGAGCTTCTCCACAACACGGAGCTCTGGCCTGCACACTGCATGGCTTTTATCAAGCTGCCTTAAACATGCTAGGTGGTCAATTTTCAAGGTTACAGCAACCACTCTTATTAAAAGGAGATTTTTACATTAAGGTTTACATATTTGGAATGTTAGTGCTAAATCAATTGAAATATGCCAGAAGTTTGATTATTTTTTTATTTAGAAGACATAAAAATATGTGGAAAAATTTAGGCTCCAATTATTATGTGTTTTAAAACACAGAATTATCTGAATGTAAATGTTTCAATCTTTTGAAAACAAATTTCTAAAAAAAATGTATGAAATTTGAAGTTCTCTTCAGATTTTGAAAATATCTGAAATAAAAACAAAAATCCTTATCCTGGATGTGTTTTTATTGAGGTTTTTTTAATCAAGGCACAAAGAAAGTGAGAAGACAAAGATGAAGGCAGGAGGACAGCAGTGTGCCACATCCCACACCCTCTGGAGAGGCAAATGACCTTAAGGGAGAGACGAGACTGACAGCTCAATAATGACAAAAGAAAGACAGAGATGAAAGAGAGATCAGAGGAGAAGAAGATGTGAGCTAAAGAAAAAAAGATCAGTGAAGAGGACGTGTGAGACAAGGGGGCAAAGTTAGGAAAGAAGGGACTGTCTCTTGGCAAAAACAAACATTTGACTTTTTTGCCAAATGTTCTGGGGATATATATTGCATTATATCCCATTTTTTTCTGAATTCCAGGTATCTAAAAAACTGTCGAACTGAATAGTTAAATAGAAAATTTGTACAAATTTAGTCATCCCTTTAACTGTTGCCCCAAAAGCACTTACATGCAGGTCAATGGGTCCATGAGGATGTTGGTGTCCTCGTGGCAGTTAAAGGGTAAAATATTAATCTGTTCCTGCACAGATACACACACACGCCTACACACACACACACACACACACACACACACACACACACACAACACATACAAGCCTAATTGAGCTCCTCTGCCTTCTCGATGTGGACCTGCTCTCATCTGATTAAATACACTGCTTAGTCGGAAAAAAAAACAATCAGAGCCAGGAGGAGGGTCTTAGCATGTCAATTACCCGCATGTATGTAATGCTTCACAGCAATAGAGGTTGCCATGAATGCCAAAGCTAATTAGCATTGACAACAATGATGGTGGAGAAACAGTTTTTCTGAAACTGTAAGTTGTTTCTCCGCCTTCAGCACATTTAGCAGCATGAACACAAGAGTGATGACAGCGCTAAGCCCCTCCTCATGGTTCTATTTGGTTGTTTTTGACCAGCAGCGATGCATATCTTGATACGGCAGTAATCGTTCAGGGAGGAGGTGAAGGAGACTGATCCTTTACTCGAAAACAAGTACAAATAATATTTTTTAAAAGTTACATACTGTTCCTTTAAGTCAAGGTTTTGGACTTAAAACCATGATTGAACTCATGGTTTTAAGTCTGAAGTCTCAATGTATGTGTGGGGTACCTGGAAAGACCCCACACATACACATGTAGAACATGCAAATTGCTGAAGGAAAATATATTTATGTTAATTCACACTTTTGCTAATCTCTTAAAATCTAATAGGCATTTTGTGTTTTTTCAAAATAGTTTTTATACAGATAAAGAATAACAACAGATGGATTTAAGATTGAATAGTAGTTATTTATAGAGTTAAAATATCCCCAGATACAAACATACATTTTATTGCTAGTTCTTTTCTCACCAAGTGTTTTGTCCACACAGTTTTTGCCACAGTCTTCTTTGCTTGAACATGAATAACAACTTGGTTTCAGAAAGATTCTAAAATGTTCTGACAAAATTCAGCTAAAACTCTCCTGGGTTTTAGTTTCCATCCAGCATGGCTACAAACTATTCAGTAGTTACTTCTATGTGTCACTTCTGCTGATATTTGTGTGTGAAGTTTTCTGCAATACCATGCTAACACTAGATTGCGTCTTCTGTGTTTTGATATCACTCTTTGATCATCCCACTTGTCAAATGTTTACTTGTTCCAGTGAATCATACGAGAAGATAAAACTCGGAAGAAAAGTTGTTTACCTGTTTCATAAACTTGGTGCTTTGCTTTGAATATTATACTTTTTAACCTCTAGTGTTACGGCTGCGTGCAGAGCTCAAGGTTTCTCCCACACAGCTGTCAGCCTGAGGGGAAACTGAGCGCCGGCTGAGTGGGTCACATGACACAAACATAAAGGACGCAGCCAAAAATGTATGTCTTTAACAGCTTTTTATGAGGTACACAAGGTAAACAAAGCCTTGTGAAAAACATTTTATTTCTGCCATTCTATCTGCGTACTGTGCATTAAGTGAAGGTGCCCAAGCTAACACGCTAAACTGAGCCATGACACTAGGCTGTCTGAACAATAAACCATATAAACAAGATTAGATTATATGGTTCAATGAATATACTCAATTATGATAAAGATTAATGTCTCACCTTGAGGAACTTGTACAGGAGGAAAGTAAACCAGTTGGTTAGCATCTTTTCAGCAACAGACTCCGTTCTAACATGAAAGAAAAGAGCAAAACAAGAAATGATCAGACCAAGGTTTTGTTTCTGGACATACACAACAGCCTTGGTGAGTTTCCAGATATGATGATGAAACATATTCTGAATTATTTTTATAAAATAATTATTTTTAAGTAAAAGAAAACCACAACAAAATAACTACACAACCCAAAAGCAATGTGAGGTTGGAAAGGTAAAATGTGATCTGAGAAATGACCTGCAAATTCATCATGATATGCCAGTAAACAGAAATGATTTTTTCTTATTTAATTTGTGTGGCATTTTATTATGTCATTGTCCTGAACATCCCCAAAGCAGCAGAGCAATTTACACCAGGGTGTCTGTTTTTCCCCACAGGGCCAGTGGTGTTAAGTGAGGAACTTTAAAGATCATGCATTTTTCTTTACATTTTAAATATATATTAAATAGTGTTTGCGTTTACAGTTAAAATGTTTCTGAGCCCAAAAATATTTGCTAAAATGTCTCTAAATAAACTTTGAAATTAATTTAAACTGAACAATACTTTTAATAAAATCCAATCAAACCGGCATCCTATGTAAAGTTTTTCAGTAGAACTTGTACAGAAGGAAAGTAAACCAGTTGAGTTTAAGCCATCCAAAGCTCTCCTTTCTCACCTCCTTAGCAGCAGTTTGGGGTGATTTTTGCTCTCCAGGTTTCTGTCTATCAGATCAGACAGCAGTTGTTTCAGGACCCCTGTGGCGTACTCCATCTCCCCCTGCAGGGCCGTCATGATCAGAGACGCCACGTTGCCTCGATCCCGCATCGAAAACGACCTGGCAAAGCATCAGAACAGCCCACACAGTTTAATGGCTTTTTGTTGTCTCCCACTGGAAGCTTTCTTCTTATAAATTCAAAAGTGCACAATTAATATAAAGGTTTTGTTTTAAATATTAATGCCTATTTAATCTTAATTAAATGTTGCACAAAGAGGGATTTTCCAGCTAATTTAGCATTGCTGAATTGTTCATGTTTGCAACTTTTTCATTATAAATTTAGTCTTTTGTGGTCTAATTTATGACCAAACACAACAATTAGTGTTTGTAATGTTGTAGATTTTTTTTTTTTAAATAACTAATATCCAGAGTAACAAGCAATTAAATATGCAAGTACAAGCTTTGATTCCCTAAAAAGAATCTGTTAAATTCATTTAAATACATAAAAATACAAAACAAATTATTTATATAAATTAAACCAATGAAAACAGACCTTTGAGCCTCAAGTGTCCGTATGAATGTCAGCAGGAAGTGCTTCTTGGTCAAGAGCTGACCAAACAGCGTGAGTGCCTTCTCAACATTGGCTTGGACCTGAATAAAAGCACAGTGACAGATGGACAGCATGAGCGTCAAATGGAAGGAAAATGACATTTTCCACCAATAAATCTGTTCCCGTTCTTTTCTTAGGCCGATTTGACGGCCCAGGCCTTTATAGATTCAAACCTCCTGGTCCATTTCATGTCTGCGCTCCTTTTGAATCAATCTCAGTGTGAGAGTCTATTTCTAATCTGTTAATATAATACCATATAAAGTTTGCTATCTTGTCAAAACCTTCAGCTTTTGTCTTTTGCTGTTTTTTTTTTGTTTGTTTTTTTTTGTCAGTTTAATTTTTCACACATCACGCACTTTTAGATAACCTGGATAACTGGAGTTAAAATGGAAATCTTAAAATGATGAATTAATTTATTAGGGGGAAAACAATCAATCCTAACCAACCTGAGCTGATATGAAAAATGATATTAACCTTAAACCTAATGACTGGTCCTGACATCCATGACGGCAAAACTTCCATCAAGCATTTGTGATAACAGGCAGTAACTATTTTAGGTTTCTCTGGAGGAGTTCTGGTCTGCTTCTCTTAAAGAATCATCTTAATTCAGCAAAGCTGGAGGAGTTTCAAGTTGTACTACACTGAAGTGTAGTGATGCAACAAATGAGCAAATATAGCCTGCTATTTAAAAGCACAAAAACAATTTCATGAAAAAGTGAAATGTAAAAAAAAATAGATTTTTTTTAAAGAGTTTTCAAAAATGACTTAGAAAGACTAATACATGCTAAGAAACACATCAGAAACCAGACATTTCTTTAGCTTGTGCCAAGACCCAATACTGTCTTGTTAAACACTAAGTTGAGGCTGATTGGCTACTCCTCCTCCTTCTGTGCTGCTGTGTGATGTGCTTGATGTCAAACGATTTTAGCAGACAATCTAACACGATTGTCTGCTTGACATGAGGGGGGCGAAAGCCTTGGACCTTTCTCCAGTTGAAAAATCAATGAAACAAGAGGTTTTAATTGTTGCCTTTGCCAGAGAGCCACGTGCATTCAAACCATCTGGCCTGTCTGCGTGTCTGTCTGTAATGTACTCAAAGGATTTAAATTTAAATCTTAAATTTCATCAGATCAACTTTAATTTCGACTCAGTTGTTTAGCTGGAGCCCCTTTCATAAAACGTTTAGAGCTTTAAGGCCAAAAGGGATAGTTTACGACTTTGAAGCAGAGTTCTGAAAAAGATTGAGCGCAGTTAATATCTTGCTTTTAACAAAACACTCTTTTAGCATCCACATTTACATTTAACATCAATTATAATAAGCAGGTACCAGAGGCTGAAGCTAACAGGTATCCAAGACCAAAGTGCATTTGTGCCGTTTTGAATCAGTTGCAGTTATCAGTTTAGGCAAACATCTTTTTTATGAACCATCATACTGCCATTGCATTTCTGTTGGGCAGTTTTTTACACCAAGTCTGATAATTATGTGTACAGTAAACTATCAGAATATGGTTCACCAACATTGGCTGTTTTAAACAGGAGCTTGGAAAGATGTATAAGAACACACAACTTCCTATAAAGCAATGTGAAAATAAGGAAAAATGGCTTTTTATCTTCTTATTGGATACAGATAAAAAAAAAATTACAAAGGGGAAGGTCAGTAGTGATATAACACCTTCTACATATACTTTCTGAAAATACACATAATGTTCGGTTTAATAAGCATGTTAACATTATGAAGGTCTAAACAGCTGATAAAACTGTTGCATAAACCACTATGACATTTTGGAAGCTAAAGTTTTAGGATGGCAGTTTTTTGACTGGGACTGGGTGTTAGCATCAGCTAAACGGGAAGACAAACCAAGAGAAGTGAGATTTTTTTCTGATTCATAACGGTAATATCCAATGTAACAAGCAATTAATCATGCAACTACAAGGTACAATTCCCTTAAATGAAGCTGTTAAACTCAGTTAGCAAAGCTACTAAAATTTCGCAAGGTATTTGTCGGTTGAAGGTCTGAGGTTTGGGGGTATTTCAGGTTAGGTGGCATTAAACAAGGGTCTGGGCACAGAGGTGAGGTTTCATAGAACAGCAACCCGAGTGCACAAAATAAAGAACATGTGAGGTCATGACTGCCATGGGCTGACAGAAAGGACAAAGGCAGCATAAGTCTCTTTCAAGTTGCTGTATCTGAACACATCTGACTTGGAAAGTAATCCACTGACCAGATGCAACTGGACTGGATGGTCAGATTGTTTTTGATGCACCATGATCAACAGATGCCTTCCAGATTTATAGCAGGTGAATTTCCATTAATTTTTTTTTAAAGGCATAGTTTGAATCATCACATTAGAAAACATTGAAGGAAATAAGAAAATTCAAAATTATTCCATTTCAGAAAAAAACATTTTTATACTTGTTTGTGATGGTTTTTGGTTTTGGTTCCCTCTTTGGTGTGTTAACCAAAGAGGGAAATGGAAACATTTGCTGAATAAGTTCTGACGTAGCAAACTGGCCACAGTCCAAAGCTCCAGAACGCAGGGCAGGGCGGTCTGCCTGGGGGGCAGCAAGAGGCTCTCTTGGCTGAGATGGAAATGGTGGATTGCTCCCAACAACTGGTGTGTCAATGCCTTACCAGTGGTAAGAAACTGAAAAATGTATAAGTCCAAACCTCCTGGTCAGAACTCTCTATCTATTTCTCTTATATTTGCCTAGACAGGCAACCTCTACATCTTGTTTTATTACAATTACATACAGTGTCAACATCTGATATGATGTCTCTTATGTAATTAAGTGACATATTTTGCGTAGTCGGGGTCATTTGCTCCAAACCAGTCAAGGAAATCAAGCCTAACTTGGACCTTATTTTTTGTGACATTTTGAAACATAGGCTCAACCTCATTTTAAAAAAAATGCTGAGCTATCTCTAAGTGTCTATCTGGCCTAGTTTCCACCTGAAAAGCATTTCTGTCAAACTCGGAGAGAAGCAGGAAATTGAGAGCACTGTAAACAGGAAGGCACATCAGGGCATGGCAGGATTATATGTGTGTCAGTGTTGGTGACAGAGGTGCACCCTGCTTGTTCCCCTGGCTGGCACCTGTCACTACTTAACAACACACTAAACCCCATGAAGATACCCTCCTTCACTGCTCTAATTCTTCCTCTCACCCTCATTCTTATTTTTTTATACATCCTTCGACTCATATTGAATTGATCCAATCCTTCGTTGGTGAGTATCTTTTTAACTTTGACACGCCCTAACACTTATTCCCTTTTCATTCTTTCCCCCCCACTTCTGTTCCTCCACTCTTCAGACACGCCATAATAAAGTGTCTGGACCTCTCTGTAAAGTGCTAAATGAGATTCCCAAGCCTCCGGGGGGGAAAGCTGAGAGTGATGGGTCTTAGAGTAAAAAAAAACAACAACAAAAAAGAATGAGATAAGGCAAAGATAGAAGAGGGATGTGTGTACATACAGCACTGCATTTTCACCTGATTTTAAGGCTGATTCCAGCTTTATGTCCACATATGTGAGGACATCTGGATCTCCTGTCAATGTGTGCGGTTTGTCTGCTCAACTTAAGATAGAGAGTGGCCACACAGAGCAATAAAGAGAAGAGCACTGGTTTACCCAGGCCATTGGATTATACGATCAAGCCTGGAGGGAAATACAGAGGGACAAAGAATAAAGTCTAGACGCAGCAATAAAACAAGGGAGCACCCTTTTGCTCAATGCCTAGCTGACCTTTAAATTAAAAGGTGCACTCATGCTTTAGGGACTTTGGTTAATGACGATCATGTCAGTGGTTGACATCTTGATCTGTTTCGAAGGCTGTAATTTGGTTTTGTACTGTTTCTCTTACTTGTGACTAATAACACTCATAAGGAGTAAAGAATTAAAGCATTTGAGAGGCGTCTTTGAGTGGCTTATGTGAATAAATAATATGAGACTTTATAGCCCACCAGACTGAGAAAGCACCCACCTGCAGGGGAGAGTACGGGTAAGAAAAGGGGAGGACGACATTTTTGCCTTTTTAGCAATTCCTTCTTTTGTACTTTAGGCTGCTTCATATTCAAATTGTTCAGAGACAACAGTGAAGTCACCAATAAGAGGACATTTCTGTGACTATGTAGACCACTACCACAAAATCCTGTCAAACTGCTTTAGGTGTGTGCAGCTGAGGTGCCTGTTGAGGAGTATTCTACACATACCAAGTATTACAATAACAGCACTTACACAACTGCACTTAAAAAATGCTGTTGTGATTTTACCATGATGATCACAATATGGACCAAATGAATTATACAAAAACATATAAATATCAAGTTGGAAGCCCAGTGAAGCAACAGCAGAATCAAACAAAACAAATGTGTTTTTTTCTTCATTAATGCCATTTTATCTGCATTTGGTGTCAAAAACCTGTCAAAATTCCTCAGTTTTACTCTGACATATTTGTTTAAAAGTTTAAAGTTTTAAGCTGAAAACCAGTGGAACTCACAGGGCAGTGGGGGGTCTTTTTGTTTCAATAAAGCTAAAATTGAATCACAAAGAATGAATAGAAAAGGTAAAAAATAACTGCTCAAAGACCACCCTGAGAGCTTCCCTTTCCAAAGAAAATCCACTGTCTGGATAAGAGTGATTAAATGAAGCTGTTAAAGGTCAAACAAATTATTCCTTTACTCCAAAAAGTCGGCTCTCCAATCAAAGCCAACAGAGCAGGACCGGTTTCTACATCTTAATGATTCTGCTGATTACAAACTTAGCTTTGGGTTTTTTTTAGCTCTGATGGAGAGCAGTTTTTGGAGACGTACTGGTCTGGATGGTGAAAGGTGTGTTGATATCAGCTTCACTGTCGTCATTCAGCTGTACTCAGAAGGTGGATGCAAAAAATTAAATTATAATTAGAAACTCAGCAGTGATGTATACTGCAGACAGCAGTTCTAGTAACCTCTAAATTTCCTTCCCTACTATCTTCATATTTCTATTTCATAAGCATTTTTTTCCTTGTGAGTTTTTATAGGATTTTATGTAAATGAATCACAAGTTTAGAACTCTATCTAAACTAAAAAAAAAATAAAATAAAATAAAAATCTGAAGGAAATTTTTCTCTGAGACTCGACTAAAGATGACACCAGGGCTCTTGAAAAGTTATTTGCATTGAATGTGATGAGGATAAACACATAAAAGGCAAAGTAGGTAAAATATAGGTTATGTGATTGCTTTAAGGTAAATGACATCTTGGGCTCTTTTTAGTGTCAGACTTTTTTCAAACCTGCCTTTGATGAAGCCCATCATGGGATGATGGCAAAAGAGGAATTAAGTGGAAAAGCCAGAGGGGCACTTTAAGAGTATTAAAAACAACTTCAGAAACACTTCGAGGCAGTGTTAGTGGATTAGCACTGGCTGCTAGCTGTAGGTTCTGTCAACTCGGTGGTTAGTTTGTTTCACTATGAAATTTGGCTGATGGTGTACTGACCCGTACCTCCATCTCCTTAAGCACAGGGTGATCCTCAATTCCAGGGAACAGGACTCTCATTGCGTATGTGCGATAATCCAAGAAGGGAATCCCGGCGCCGTCCAGTTCCTGTGTCAGTTCATGGATGTCCGTCTGGAGCTCAGCGAAAGCTGCACAACAACAACAACAACAAAAAATGGCTGATGGATAAAGATGGAGTACTAGAGGTTCAGTTTTAACATTGTAACTTTATTTGTTTTTAATTGTGCCGCTGAGCTACTCAACAACAACGTCTGAAAAGACGCGTTGCTCTAGCACATTGAGTTTTCCTTCAATAGATGTACAGTGACGAACTGCTCATTTTATTTGTTTTTTATTTTTATGCATTTGACATCATTAGAAATCTGAAAATCCACACTTTCAAAACCTGTAACGAGTTCAAAGCGCCTGGGAAGACTTGTTCCTGGTTTGGTCATGACCAGTCACATACTTACCATTCATGCTAACTACAATTAGCAATGCAAGCTAATCACTTATTTGTCTGCATTCTGTACAATAAATTAATGCAATAAACTTATGTTGCTCTGAGTGTTTGTGATTTCACAAGACACAGATCATAAGAACAATTATAAACTGTTTTATTTTTTTTACTGCAGCTATCACTTCTTCTGTTCCTATTTCTTCTAAATACTTACATAGAGGAAGGGTGCTGACAAGAGATTTTGAGTCAGAATGACTCATTTACTGACATTTCAATCCAACATGGGTCTTCCTCAGAATACTTTTAAAGGCACTTGTGGCCATTAGTCAACAGTAGTTAGACAGGAAGAAAAGCAAGAAAAGAATCAAACTGGGGACAACAAATAAAGAAATGAATGTCAGCAAAGATGAAGAACAAGGTTCAGATGGACACTTAATGAGGTAGAAACAGAAAAGAATGTGTGGACGGATCATAAAAAATTGTTAATATGACATTATGAAGTAAGAAAGAATTTTATGTACTTAAAGGAATATATCTGTAAATACATGACTGCAAGATGTGGCAAAAATATGCACATGTTTGGCTTCTAGAGGTCTACTACAATGTAGATTGTTACAATTTATCCTCACATGTAAATAACGCAAGCTATTCACTCTCAAAACATATTTGTATTAACTTCAGTTTTTCATAACAGCATGCAGAAATATTGAAGTTAAAAATGAATATTTTTCAATAACAGCAATCTCTGCAAAGGTCTATACAAAGAAGGCAGGACAAAAATGAAAGTGGGAAATGAAAATCTCTGAAATGAACAAGAAATTATGGCTCAGGTGGAGAGAAGAGGCAAAAGCAAGAGACAGAAAAACCAAGTTCCTGAAAAGGAAAGTCAATTAATTGCATGACTGGATAATTATTAAAGAGAGCAACGGATGAGTTTTCATGCATAATTTCCTCCAGCTGTTATTGGACTGTTTGGTCCACCAGAGAGACGAAAGAAATGAGAGGAAGCTAAGATGATAAAGGAGGAGTGAAGGAAAAAAAAAAAAAAAGGCAGAAAGGAAAATAGGAAAGCAAAATTAGGATTTTACAGACATGAGAGTGGCAGACAGAAAAAAGTCTGAAGACGGAATGTTACTAAGAGGAAAGGGGGGCTTTTTTTAGAGAATAACTGCAAGAGAAATATATCATGAAAGAGGGAGCAACAGCAAAACCTGTCCCATGAATAAGAAGTGAATACAAGAAAAAGGAAAAGCATGGAAGCAGCAAACATGAAGGTCTAAATTAAAATTTTCTTCGTTTAACCCACAGACAGATTATGTAGAAAAGAAAGAAAAAAAAACCTACTAAACATGTCTCTGAAGATAGCCAATCTGTCTGATTGGATAATTATATACTAATTAATCTTGTGGCAGCCAGGAACTAAACCTGGCTTGTCACACTGTTCTTGCTTTTTTGAATACCAAACTTTCCATAAATCCAATTATGTGTTTTTAGCCAAAACACTCTTGGTGCGTCATATTTACAGGCGTACCAGAAACACACAAGTACAAAAGTTCTGTCCCGGACCTTTGCAAATTAAAAAAATAGTGATTTATTGCGTTAAAATGTTTTAATTCATTAATAAAAATTAAAGCGTTAAAGTCCCGGGCCTAGTCAATTTAGGTGAAAAGTTAACAACCCAGGTATACACAAATTGCCCTAATCCCATGATTGTTTTAAAAAATTATTTTGATCCAAGTATCGCCCCACCATGACTGTCAAAGTGTAAATGTCCATTAACAGCAGACTATAGATAAAGGTATTTCCTGTGGTGTCTGCTTTGCATGGATGACTGAACCAAACATCCGCTTCTCTGCAGAATTTTTAGAGCACAACCAAACACACACACCTCACCATTAGCTATCACACACATGGTGGACCGCCCACTTCATCTGCTACTCCGCCCACACGCGCCTCTTCCTCTCTGTGGGCCAGATGGGCGTGCAGCAGGCGGGGCGGAATGCTTGGGGATGGGTGGGAATAGGGCCATGCTTCATCTCCTGCACAAAACTGGTTGTTGATTCATACATTGCATGTTTTTCACGAGTGACATCTTATATTGAGTCACTCCAACGAGGTCAGGACACGTTTGGGTAAATGTCACCTCTGCCAGGGTATGTGGAAGTGTTGCCCTGAAAAATAAAGGGCTTTGACTCAAAACATCTGACAGCTTTTGTTTGACACGTCTGGCTGCTGTTAAGAGTTATGACTCTGTGTCAAGACTGAGGTGTGATCATGTTAGAACTTTGTGCCTTGGCTTTGTGTGCTTGTGGCACTAACTTGTAAACACCTACAGCACCAGGCCTTATTGTCAGTCACTCACACTCACACCTAAAAGGCCTCTCTAAAACTCATGCCCTTAACCCTCAATAATTAACCACATCACAACCCACCACACACCGATATAACGAAGCTTCAAGAACTAATGGTTTACAAAGCCTTCTCATCTTCTAGGACTCCAGTCAACCCTAATCAGAGCTTCTATCTACAAATGAAAATACAAAGAAGAGTGGTGAACCCTCAGAACTACTCCAAAGTCACATCAAGGACTCAAGCAGAAGGCAACAAATGAAGCTAGAACAACATCTAGAAAACGGCTGATATCATTTCTTTCAGGGTCGAAGGGAGTTTGGTGTGAACGCATCCAAAGTTGATGACTCAACTTTGGATGCGTTCACACTATTTTCATTTTTCTCACTAAAATGGAAATGAAATGAAGGCCCACCTACAAAGCGGCAAACATCTTAAAGTCCCATAAGACCTTTTTCGGGCAGTTATTTTTCCTGTTACATTTGATGCAATGATAACACAACCTTTCAGAAAAAGAACCTTACACCAAAAAAAAAAAAAAAACTGTGGTGTTACTGCAACATTGTTGCTTTCGGACCCAGATGATTTGTCTTTCTCAACCAGTAAATTCTTTCAACCAGTAAATTCTGGTAAAGAAAATCTGCTTCATAAGCTCAACCTCACTACAGTTAAGCAGCAGGACAATGATCTAAAGCATTATGAATGTTTAAAAAAAGCAAAAATAAAATGCAAGTCTTCAATGCTCTACTTTTGGCTGAATTACATTTTTTAAGCACAAGCTTAAAAACCTTCCATTTTAAATGGAAAAAAAAGTGAATCTGCAAAGAACATATGGTCAAAATGTATTCAGAGCAAAATACAAGACTCACTGCCAGTTATGAAAACCTCCTGTTGGTAGCGTGGAGAAACTAGTGATTAGGTTTAGGGGGCAATTACTTTTGCACACAGGTCCAGGCTGGGTTGGATGGCTTTTGAATGTCATTTGAAAGCTTCCTTGTGAATTTACTCTGGTTATCTTAGATATAAACATTAGTTTGATGATCTAAAACATTTATGTGTCATCATAAAAGCTGCTGTGACTTTTTTCCCCGACTTTCCAGGAAGGCTGGTGTTTATAAAAAGCATCTTCTTTGGGTCTCAACATGAGAAACTGAAGGAGATTTTGTGGAACATCAAGTCTTGTGATGTCTTTGAAGTATGTGTGACATTTTTGATGTGTTCCTGATGTAAGAAGTTCCCTTAAAGTGGAGATCTGTGAGACACAATTCACAAACAATCTGACCGTTCGCTGAAATGACTTTCACATCCCCCAATGCCCAAACCTTATTTAGATTTTAGCTGCAGAGATGTTAAAGCTCTCAGAGAGTGCTGTGGAAATCATATGAAATGTGGGTTGATCACAGCTGACACGGTAATCCCAAAACCAATAATTTTACAACTGCATGTTTTCTGAACAAAAAGTCTTTGAGTCCCACTACCAGACTAAGAGAGCTCTGTAAATCTCTCAATAAACAGCCAAAAAGTACATTTCTTCATGTGCTGATGTTATTAATGATGTTCCAATTGTCAAATTTTTATGACAATATAAAAAAAGATATTTGGAGTTCCATTAGATTAACATGTCAGTATTTACCAGGAATGAGTTTCAGTTTCACCAGAATGCAAAACCCAAAGGGAATCCACTTCATCTGCTTTTAATGTCTTAAAGATTTTAATAGAATTAATCAAAATAAATAAATAAATAAATAAATAAATAAATAACATCCCAAAGTACTTACCTTAGCTGGAACATAAATGTTTGCGTGTTTCTGGTACATCCATAACTCTGATGCACAAGTGACAGCCACAAATGGCAGCGATTGATGACAAAACTGCTTCTCTCGGCACATTGGGAGTTAATTTATGCTTCATAAATGTTCTGTTGGGATGTTAGAAAAGACTACTATTGTGTGCAAGTTAGTCTATCATCACCAAAGCTATTCAAGCCTAAAACAGGATTTCGATGCAAAACATGTAGCAGCAGCACAGACGTCCCCAATGCTAACATCAGCGTCCACAGTCCATATTACAAAAGAATGACTTTTTTCAAAGTAGTTTCATGAATTATCAGAGGTTCCTAAAACATTTGTAACCTCAGTGGGTATATAATCACTTTATCCCAATATGCTTGTTGAATAACTTAAATAACAGATTAAAAACAATAAATATCTTTGTTATTGAACTCATATGTATTATTATTATATTATTCATTTAATAATATAATAATTTAGCAGAAAAAAGGGTTTGTGAATAAAAAAATTTGCTCATTTTTATTAAATGTGATAAATTTTGATTAATTAATTACAAACCCTCCAATTAGCTTGATTAAAAACTTAAACAAATCACACTGCTAGTCAAAATCTAAGTGAGTCTGAACTCTTGCTGTATAGATATTATCAAAAATCACAAGTTAAACAGTTTATTCACCACAACTCAACTTTGGTAGTTTATGTGTTTAACTCAGCATGTATACCCTAAAGACGCTGGTAGTGATGTTAACAGTATCCAACAGTAATTTATTGCATCTCCACCTCTCTCCAGATTCATTCACTTTCATAACTGTCTCTGTCTACTCAATGCTGTGCTTAGCTGTAAATCAACCCAATGAAAGTCATGTTTAGAGAAATATCTTAAAAATTGTTCTATTCTACCAACAAGGAAAGCTTAAATACTTAAACCAGCATCACTGCCAATGAATTTGCTTTGCTCAAAGAGCGCCCACCTTCTTTACACTCCAGGGCCACTCGGGACTCCAGGTTGTCCATCTGGAGCTGGAGGCGTTTCAGGGTGCGGTCTGCGTCCCTTGACTTCCTCTTGTAGGCTATCAGAACAGCGATGATCACCAAGAGGAGCAGGCCACCGCCCCCTCCAATGCCAATGATGGCAGGAAGGGTGAGGAGACTGTCAGAGTAGATGTGAAGAGTTCCTGGGGAGTATTCAAATCCACCAGCACGGATCTAAACACAAAAATAGGGTAGGGCAAGATTAAGATCTTCAAGATTCACACAAGATTCACAAGAGAAGCATACAGAAATTATTTTGGTAATTCTAATTAACCAAAAACAAAAGGTGTTTGGTCTGACTTAACTTCAAACAGTGGTAAATAAAGTTGTATACATCTTTATTCAAAGTATGTAAACATCTGGTTCCAACTGTACATTCACCTCAGCTGATGTTTGGTGAGATGTCTTTGGAGGGGTACAACTTGTCCACTGACTTCTTGTAGTAATTTAAAGGTTCCATTCAATTTGTAAACTGGTTGCGTTCTAACAGTGGACCTGAATTTGAATTGCAGTCCAGAATTTTTCTCTACAGTATTTTGTCTATGTTAAAACCACTTCTGATGTTGACAATTTTTTTCTTGTCAAAATACCAAAGACCATCAGACTCAAAATGTTAACCTTCTGAAGGAAAGAAATTGTTCAGTAAGTGAAGGAACCACCAGATTCTATTCCAGTTCTAAACTAAAAACTGTCAGCAGACCAATGTTTTGCTCCATATCCTCTCACTCAGTCCAAGTACTCCAAAATGGACACCTTTGACCCATTTTACCAACTGTAATTGGCAGCCAACGTGTCATGTGAAGGACACCTCTATGGTCAGACAAGACCAACATTGAGCAATTTGATCACAGCGACCACAGTAACCCTTGAAGTTATGCATTCCAATGCAAAAGAACTGAACCAATTGTCTAGCACGGTGGTGCCATCATTTTTTGTCAATACTGACACAAAGCAAAACATGCAAGGATTAACAAAACAGGATAAATGTCAAACGTTTGAAATTTCACTTAACATAAACAACTACAAACAGAAAGGTTGGACACAATTACATTTTTCAACATTAAAACAGATATTAAAGGTAATTTTTGAACAGATAAATGTTCTGAAAGTTCCCTGACTTTGACTAAGCCAAATTTGAGTCAATTAAAATTAACTCTAACAATGCCGTCACACAGAGTGGTTCGGAAATATGCAAGAATTGCATTGATGGTGAGAACTGTTGTGCTTAGCTGTGCTTGAAGTGTTAAGTGTAGCTATATTTGGACTTGTATGTAATATTTAGAAAAACCCTATTAAAGTTATGGTGCATTCACACCAGCCCTGTTAAGACCACTTTAAGCAAACGTTTGAATGTACAATCAAACTCTGATGCAGCCAAAAAAAACTAGGTCTCAGTTTGGTTAAAGAGAAGTCTGGCTCAGAGACCACTACACAAACAGAAAGTGGACTAAAGCATTCTGGGTAAATATAACCAAAACAAACATGCATGTCTTGCAATAGAGGGAGAAATGGTTTGTAGTCTTTTACCAATGACAAAAGTAAAGGTTGCTGAAGTCTGACACCAATCCAATTGTTTACATTTTGAAGAAGGAAGTTGAACTGGTCTTCTTCAGAGGTTATTATGTTGTTTCCTTCAGTGTTTCTCCCTATAGTGCCACCACAGGCCAGAACATAAAACATTTTTCAATTAAGTTTGACACAGTGCAGTATGAAAGAGAACCATACCATCTGAAAATGTAAGATGTTGAAATTTTGGTCCCCAATCAAACCAAGTCTACCGGACTATCAGATGTGAAAAGGCCCTAAATCTCCAACTCTTATGTGGGCCCACCTTTATATTCATTTCAACATCAAAACAGGCACCTGCACCACTATGATTTATTGTAGTTCCTCTGCTTGTGCCTAACTGAACTGGTTGGCCAAAGAGTTTATGGCTTTGCTCAAAGGCAGCTCAACTACAATCATTAAGAGCTAGGATATTTCTGTGCAGACATGTTCCACCACCCACTTTGATTTTCTACTAGCACCATCCACGGAGAGAGAGAGAGAGAGAAAAAAACATGGTTCATTTCTGCAACAGCACCTGTTTGAGATCAGACAAAGTTGTCTGAAAGGATCAAAAGTTGTTGATCTGATGAAAGAGAAACTGGCCGAGCCGATCTCTAAAGCAACGGTCATTAAATTTTTATCTGTTGTATCGTCACGCTGAATAGATATTTCTAACAGACTTGTGCTGCGAAGGCTTACATCACCTCCATCGTTGTGAACATTTCTTGTAGGAAAGCTTTTCGATTCCTGCCTCGGGGGGGCAAAGAAGCAACTTCAGAGGGCTTTGATAATGAAGATTTCAATACTTGCCCAGTACTCTCTTAGGTAGCTGCTGTGACAGCTCTGTATTTGGGTTAGATGTTTTCTTGTTAATGTTCTCGTCCATCACTGTCAACTTTAACTGATTTAGGTCAGAATGTGAATGATGGGCATATGGACAAGGATAAAGCAGTGTGGTACAGGACGAAACCGACATTAATGTCATAATAACATCATAAAAGATTACCCATTCAGGGCATACACACACACACACATATAGACTTTGCATATATTCACACACAGCATAAGTAATCAAACAAAGTAATCACCAGCATTTAAATCTCTCCCCAAGGAGTCGTGGTAATTATGGAAAGTCAAACACATCTGATGTTTTTTTTTTCTCTGACTAACTACATTTATATATGCACAGTGTGTCACTGGAATCCATCAAATCAAGATATCCCCCAAGGGGGTTGATAACCGATTCAAATGAAGTGTGATTATAAGCTTTGAAGTTCTTGTAAGAGCACTTTCATGTTGACATTAACAAAGTCTGAATATAAAAGACAGAAAGTAAGAAGCCGTTACATCAATATCAATATAATCAATAGCTACAAATTAAATTTGCAGTAGCAAAGGCAATTAAAATGGCCTTTTAGGATGAGGTAACTAAAAGTCTGTGTTGATAGGAATTGTGTCCTGAGAAACTAACAGGCTGACTTCCCATTAAGGCTCAGAAAGTCCAAAATTTGCCTTCTGTATTCTACAAAGTGCGCAACTTTGAAAAAAGGTCATATTGGTTGCACATTTTTCACCACCATCCATTCCATTTATCCATTATCCTTTGGCTAATCCGGGATCTGGTAACCAATCTGTGCTGAGAAGCCCATACTTCCCTCTCCAGAGACCAGTTTTTCTGGGGGAATCCCCAGAAACTGGCCAGGTGTTCCCAGCCCAGTTGAGAAACAGTCCAGGGTGTCCTGGACCTTCCACTGGGTTTCCTCCTGGTGGGACCTACATGAACCAGGGAAGCGTCCACAAGCCCTCCGGGCCAGAAGTTCAAGCCACCCTATTTCTAAGGGAGAGCCCAGATGCCATGAGGGTGACACTTGTTCTTTTGGGAACTACGCAGAACAGTTGACCAAAGATGAGGGTGGAAATGTAAATCGACCAGTAAATGGAGAGGTATCCAGCACAGCACTCGCATCACTGCAGATAATGTATCAATCCACCTACCATTACCACTCCATTTTCCCTCATTGATAAACAATAAGGGAAAAAAGACAGTAAAACGCTTAAACCCCTCCACTTAGGGCAGGACTTTTTTCCTGCCCTAAGTGGAGGGGTTTAAGCGTGGGAGGGAACTCTACTTTACAAATCAGGGCCAAATGAGTTCTACCAGAATGAGTTCTACAGTTGGACTGTGATGAAGCACTTCATCCTGGACCTCTAGGATGGTGCTTTTAGTAGTCTTGACCTTTCCCAGGCTACTCACTGCTGCAGCTCCTGATGTAACTTCTTTCGTAAAACCATGCCAAACAAATACATGGTCAAGTTTTTGTGGTACGTTTCTACTTCCTCTGCACAGTTAGAGAATGGAAGTCTAAAGCTGTGAAAAACTGGTTCATAATACCAGATCTCAAACCAATGCTTTAGAAGTTTTTCAAATACAAAAAACCAGATGTTTAAAAATGATTATATTATCTTCTCAAATTGTCACCAAGAATCCTGGTAATCATTAAATTGTTTAAGTTGGGCGTGCTGTACCAGAGAAACACCTACAACATGCTGGACAGGTGTTACAGAATTACCAAGACTGAGACAGAATTCATCTTCCAGTTATCTGCAGAAAGTCTTGTTTCCCCTCTTGCAGGCTGAATCAGCTGCAGACCTCCATGACAAGTCAAAGGTCATGCAGTTCCCTTTTGAATAGCTTCTTAAATTACATTATTGTGGAGGTGACCTTGTAGGAGAAATGTACTGTGCATTCATCGATGGTAAAACGGTTGGATTGAGGGTAGGATCCTCACCTTTCCCCTAAAATAAGAGTGTAAGGTGACAACCTGCAATGCGGGCACTGATATGGTTGAGGAAACCAATTAGGTGACACATCAAATGCCATGAATTCAGAAGGGGTTAAGTAACATGGAGGCGTTTATATATTTTTGTAGCTTGTCTGTTTTTATTCGACTGACAGACTGAAGGACTGGCAGAGGAACTTAAAAAGCTGAAGGCCAAAACAACAAACAAGTTTCTTCAAAAACTCAAGGGAGCCACACAGCTGCCAACACACAGCTGAACATCTGAGGGCATGCACAAAGACATGCTGATACACATGCAACATTTCTTACAGTGCACTGGCACACACGCACACACACACACACAACAACACAAACCTGGGGCCAGTATGTATCGACGCCCATTGGGGTCCCCTGTATGTAGGTCATTGTGTACAGGGAATAATGTTTTGCTACAGCTGTGTCCTGCGCAACATACAACACAAAGACCAGAGTGCTCACACACACACACACACACACACACACACACACACACACACACACACACACACACACACACACACACACACACACACACACACACACACACACACGCGCACCAAAGGCAGGCCATAAACACAGGGTATGTAGTTGCACTTACACACACACACGCACGCCCACACACAGAAAAGCAAATAGGAACAGACAGCTCTATTTTTTTCCACGGCTATTGTCACACGAAAGAATTCCACCACCCCCTCCGACATATCGCGTCGCTCCAATATTTAACATGACATTTCGTTCAAAAAGCAGGAAAGTGGGGGTGTGAAAACTTTGAGAGATCCACCTTGGAGCTGGCTGGTTCCATTGAGAGCTATCATATTGAATTACACGGATGCGCTGTCAGGAGCTTTCTAGGTTTATTGACTGTAGCTAGCATGGAGTAAATGTCATAAAGATATAGTGAGATGACTGTGAGAGGACACTGGTAATAAGTTTAAAAGCTGTGGGTGGAGAACTGGGAGGTGACTGAGTGCACTTTTGGGATATTTAAAGAGAAGAATCCAAATGTATTCACGATGAGCGCCATGTCACCAGGATGAGGTTTGACCTTCAGTGGCGCAAACGCTCCTAAGGGGAACTCTGTGATTTCCAAGGTCTGCTTCAGTCAGAGTGAATCAGGGAGTTTAGTCGCAGTTCTGCAGACAGCTTGAGACAAGCAAAGCTGAACGGTACTTTTAAGCCTGACGTTTCCACAAGGCTATTTCAATAGCATTGTAAATTTCAGACATTAAGGGAATGTCAAAATGCCACTTCATATAGTTGTAAACACTTACAAGTAGGTATGGATACCTTTTATTGTTTCATCTGAACTGTTATTTTGGGACTGAATGATTTTTATAAATGATAACTATTGAAAAACAACAAATAGGTTAAGTTTTAGTGACAGATTCTCTCTAATTCACATATATTCTAAATAAATACATTTATTTAGAACGTCACTAACACACGTCTAAGGATTTTTGCAGATATGAGAGTCCAGTAGACTCAGTTCGACTGGGAACTAAAATAGAAAAATGTATGACATTATGAACACGGTTCGTCTTCATACTGCACTGACTCAAAAAAGCAAAACCTTTCAAAAAGACCTGTTCACCACCCTCAGCTGTGGGGGCACTACACCAAGAACCACTGACTGAAACAATACGAAAACCTCTGAAGACACACAAACCATTTCTTCCTCTACCACAAGACATGCATGTTTGTCTTGGCTGTATTTACCCAGAATACCCTGTGCTACAGCCCACTTCCTGCTTTTGAACAAGGTCTCTGGTCACATATGCATTCGAACCGCACTGGAGTTCACTTCAACTGACCTGAGAGCTAGGTTTCAGGTGGACCAGAGATTTTATCCAAATCAGAATGTGAAATGAACCAAAATTTCTACACAAACAAGTTCGATTAAATCGGATTAAACAGTGGCAAATGTCCCACAGCAAGTTCTACCTTAGACTGATTTAAGTCCCAATCTGTTCATGTGCTAAAACTGGAAGTCCAAACAGAAAGCAAAACCTGAACACCGATCTGTACGTTCATCTGGTTTACTTTAAGTAAAAACCATTGAAGTTTGTGGTGAAAAAATGAGGAAGTAACTTAAAGAAAATGAACAGGTTTGCATGGAAAAGCACATAGAAATCTGTCTTTAAGTGAAACCCATTGTTTACAACACTTTAAATAAAAGCTCTGTCAGAAAATGTGAACTATCACTTTAAGTGCTGGTCCAGATGAGAAGTGGGTGACTGTCTTATTAGAGTGGAGGGTGGGTGGAGAAGTGCCTGGCTGGAGATTTACTGAAGGTTAGTCACATTATATTCCGTGTATAAGTAAATGTCTCCATCATCATACTTAAATGAAGCTCATAAAAAAAAGCAGAGAAAAAGGGCATTAAGGAAGCTTCCACTGTAAAAACCAGCAGCATCTGCAGCAGAGAACTGCTGATGGCTGCACTTCTGATGAAGACAAGATGCCCCAGTGGATAAAAAAAGAAACATGGCTCTGAACATGTCTCCACAGGTTCAGAGGAGAGATTATTACAAGAACAGTTAAATTAGTTCCTTATCCACTTAACTGATCAAACTCAGTATTAAACTTCCTGCAGATCCTGAGCTTTAAACGTTGTTGAACAAAAAAAAAAAAGAAGAAGCATTTATCAAGTTTCTATCTCCTGTGACTAAAGTGAACTTATTTTCAGCAACAGGTTGCCTGGAAGCCAATGAGGATCAATGTGTTAATTAAGCGCAGCATATTTAACAGCAGCCTTGCAGCGCGAGCGCAGCAGAGCATATCCTGAATCTGTCAGAAGGAATCGTTTCAAAAAGACACATGGGATTATTTATATACCTCAACGACAAAACATGGTGAGGTGAGACTGAGCGGAACGTTTCCAGATTCATCAGGAAGTGGAATCTTGTGAAGTAAAGAGGGTAAATGATCAGCTTAAATGATAATGGAGGTTCATTTAACTGAAAATAATGTGTGGAAAGTTGAGGATATTGAGCATTTTCTGAGTTGCAAAGAATATTTAGAAGTGCTGTCAATGTTAATGCGTTAAAGCATTTGATTAATCTGGAAATTTTAAACCATCAATATTACATAAATAGAGATTAATTGAACTATTATTTTGACTTAAAAGCTTCTCTCCTGTGGAGGGTTACCTCTTTCCCAGAAGCACATTATGGACTACATGATGAGACATAAGAGTTTTCCACAGCAAAAGTTGAAAATTTCTATCTTTTTTTTTTCTGCTGAATTCCATAGAAATGAATGGAGAGAAACATTTTTAAATGATATGTTTGAAACAAAATGACTTCCTTTAAACTTTCCTGCATATAAAAACCTGGAAAACTGAAAATGTTCAGACATGTTTGTTTTGAGACATTAAAACATTTATTGAAAAGGTGAGAACAGAGTGGGTTATGATATTGGCTATTTGGGCAGTTGTCCAGGGCGGCATCAGAAAGGGCCGGGGCAACCAAGAACTAGAAAATAAAGTATATTTTATCCTTCAATTATTAGTTTGTATGTGTGGTAGCGGAGCAGGCTTTTTGCAGTTGCTGTTCAGTACCTGTATTGTGCTACAAAACAATAACACAAAAACAGATAACTGTTGCATTTTAATTGTTTGAGTGCGGCAGAAGGCAGAAGTAAAAAAACAAAACAAACAAATAAATAAATAAAAACAGCAAAAAAGAGTAGTTTTGATGGTGACAGAGAGTTGTGAACTCACCGTGACTTTGTGTTGTCCGGTGAGGTTGGGCCATTCGCACAGCAGCTGGCTCTCAGACAGGGTCAGGACGCAGGGAGTCTCTCCAATCAGCACCGTGTAGTTCAGGCGGCTGTTACCCGGCGCCGCTGGGATCAGGTTACGACCCTAAACACACAGAAGGGAGAGAGTCAGGAGCATGAACGCAGCCCGTTTGTCAACGGCATACTTTAACTGGGACATTTGTGAAAGGCGAACATATTTAAGGTTATTAAGTTTTTTTTTACTGAGCTACAAACTGAGGGAAAATACTCAGTTTGAACCTGGGCTTTTTCTTTGAACTCACTTTCACCTCTAAGTCTAGTATTTTTCTGTTAATGATATAATTCTCTGTCTTGTTCCACTCAATAAAACAAAGCACTGACAGCATAACAGCTCTTTTAAATCTCATTTCCAGGACAGGATTCTCTTTATTCTTCTGTTTATACATACCAATGATAATAACTAAAAACCGGTCAAATATATAGGATTTATTTCAAAAAGCAAAGGGCTAGTTTTTAATTGAAACAATGATGAAGTTCGTGGAGGATTCATGCAAGATGTGAGTATTTATTGCAGTTGAGCAAGAATAAAAGTGGAAGCTGAAATAAGGAACTATTATATCAAAAAGCAACAAAGAGGTAGATTAGATACTAGGATTTAACATGCTGTTACCAGAGATCTAACTGACACCAGGATAATTGAGCAAATCATTTTAAAGCAATATACTGACTTCCTGTCTGTAAAAAGAGAGGTTACAAAGTCTTGCTTTTCTTGAAGAAAATGAATGACCAGGCAGTCTGAATGTATCTGAGATTTCTTGTATGACATGAAACCTGAGAGTAAGATGTATATCTAAGAGACAGAAATAACAATTTCCCTTGTGGAAATCCCACAAAGGTTGTAACCTTATTTAAAGTTTCTGTTTATCTGTCTGAACCAGTATCAGTAACTGGACCAGTGTCAGTAGTACCAGAACGAAAGACAGGGAGGCAGCATTTAGCTTCTTATGTGTAGAAATATTTGGTTCCTTTAATCAGGACTGAAATCATAGTTGTGTCCTTGAGCGTTCTTGTAACTGTAAAATTGTATTTACATTTTACCAAATGTTCACTTTTCTATAATTATTTAAAAATATTTTTGGTCTTATATTCTGGAATATGCACTTGATTTTTTTGTAAACACTCAGAATTATGTTTGGTATAAATACAAACTATAAAAAAGTGACCTGTTTTAAATCAAGTGTCAAACTCAAGGTTCAGGGTTTCAACTTGACCTGTCAGAAGAATTTATGAGGCCCTCGAGACTCTAGAATCACAATATTGCTATTGTGTGCTTAAATGTTATTTTGTCAAAACACTGTAGTTTTATCTGTAATCTAACAAGATTACAGATCTTGAGATGTTTAATATAATTTTATGTCAAGAGGTTCTCATAGAATGCAGAGAAAACTATTTATATCTTAGTAGTTTGTTAATGGGTAATTTTATAAATTATTTTATGCTTCAATCAGCTCTTTGAGGACATTTTGTGGCTTGAAATGAACATTAGTTTTCTGATTGATGGAGTATATCAAATAAAAATGCAGTTCTAAATTCTATTATGGAAAATGAAAAATTCTTAAAAAGCTTTTTGTTCATTCAAACATGTATGTTCCAAAAAACTTAAATGTAACTTCACTCAAACATTGACAGCAATGGAAGATTTACAGTTAGTTTTGTCAAGCCAAAAACAGAAAAACAAAAACAGTAAGAGGGAGAGATGACTGCAAAGAGAAGAAAAATATTTGGAAATGTTGGAAGGAACCATCAGGAGGAACAGATGATTGGACAGGCAAGAGAAAAAAGATGAACGGAGAGGAACAGGCTTTGCTCTGAGTAAAGAAGAAAGGTAGTGAGCATGGAATCGGAGTTAGTGAGTTAGATGGAGACGGCGAGCGAGGAGATAGCTGCCATGTCTCCCGCTGACTTAGCAGTGGGACGCAGAGGCAGACTCCTTTTTCCAATCCCATCGTCTCTGCAGGCTGCTGCCACCCAGCCCTGCTCCGCAACCCTGTAAACATGCATCCCATTCCATCTCACAATCACACACACACACACACCCACTTTGCACGCATCTTCAAAAACCACACAAGCCTCTGAGTTATTGCCACATACTGAGCTGTTGCCGCACACAAACTCTCCAAAACACACACGGGGACACAGGAAACGCTCAAGAAACAACAGGATCAAATGGATGTGTTCGCTCCTCCTCAAAAAAAACAACTAAAAATGAGAAATTAATTGTGTGGCAGGCAAAGTGCCCCCCCCCCCTCTCTCTCCTCACCAACTACTGCCACATCCCATCTCTCCAAATTGCATTTTTGTCCATCTCATCAGCGCTTCCACTGGGTAAGCAGTTCCGCCAACAAGCCAAGCAGGAGATTTGGCAATTACCGGGAAGCTCTTTGGAAATAAATGATCTTTTAAGAAATAAATTACAACGGTTACGCTGCTTTCAGTCTCTTCATGGAAATAAGCTGCAGAACACAGTCTGTGATGACTCTTTATCTATCCTGTTTTATCTTTATAATTCTTTATCTATCGAGAAGATAAACGCATTAAAGAGGGAAATTCAATGCAAATGCAGCGTTCTGGACGACTGTGAAACAGCTTCAAAAATAAATACATTTTGAATTATTCTGTACTGTAAAAAATGTCTGTACAGATTTTTTTGTGCTCTAGAAGTGAAATTATTCATGTGCTCACTTGTAATTTCTGTCAATTTGGGTCATCTAGAAAAGTTTACAAGAATGGGCAACGTAGTGGCAGTGTTCTTCTAAGAAAATATAAGTATAAATGTCCTTCATCTCATCTGAGAAAATAAAAAAAATGTTCACCTTCTTGAACTCTTTGACAGTGTCATTCTGAGAACTTTTTCTGCTATATGTTGCATTTATAGGACTTCAGGCATTAGGTTATTTATTTATTTATGGCCGTGTTTTGTGACGCGTCTGTGTCATCATGGTTTTGTTGAGAAAGGTTTTGAATGGCTACCAGATATGATAACAGACAAAGCTACTTCGAATTAACTTGTTCTCTATGTGAAGATCTTCCTTCATTCTGCACACAGAAGCATTTTTTAAGAACTTATTTTTACTTGAATAACAACTTCCGTAGTGTGTGTGGCTGCAGAGTGGGAGCCAAGGGGTGTTTGAAGCAGAATTATAAAACTATATGTTGTTGATGAGTTACTATTCAATTTGAAGGCTTCTGGACAAATAAGTGATTAGTTTTTATCAGCATGATTTTAAAGACATAAAGACAAAGCTACACTGCAGGGGAGAAAGGGACACTGGGTCTCCTCTGCTCCTGATGTAGGTATTTAGAGAGGGTATTTGGCTACTCATTAACATTGAAGGAATTATGAGTACATTATATTAATCTGTTCCAAATTGTTATAAAAACTATTTTCTGTATACATTTTGTCCAGAGAAAGAACAGACTTGTGCAGGTATATTTATACATTAAAATCTCAGTCAAAGTCTCAAACTGAATCCAGTTCAGCATCTGTCAAGAGTCAGAGGCTGAAAATACCAATCTCCAGAAACCTGGCACAGCAAAAGGTTTTGAAGCTTTTGCTGCATTAAAAAGTAACATACATTTTACCTTTAATGTATGTTGGTCAGTCTAATAAAATATTTAAAAAAAGTTTGTAACTTCACCAGAAAGTAGAAAAGTCTGAGGAATAAAAATGGTTTTATGGATTACCGTACATAAATCATCCAACACATCCATCTATTTGCTTTAATCCTGCCTTGGCCCAACGTTTCAGGTGAACCAATTAATTTTTCTTACTCATGTTCATTTTTTGTTAATGAAACTGAAAACCAATATAATCCAAATCTCCCAGAACGCAGACTTGCGTGCTTCCACGCTGCCCTTGTAGCACTACAAATTAATTACACAAATTGAAAAGGCTGCTGTTTAAGAGGCCTTCAGGCTGCGGAGGAGAACTGTACTCAGGGAAGTGGCTGAAGGACACAAGCTGGCCTTGAAAGGTGTGGGCATTTGCTTTCAGCTTCCATTTATGAATTAAAAAGACTTTTTCTTTTCTCTCCCCTAAGGGACCTTGTAAACACACTTAAGAGCTTTTTTTCTCATCCATCTTATAAAGAAAAAAAAAAGCATGAGCGTGTGTGTTTCACAGTTTGTATTACAGAAAATTTTCAATATGTGTGATTTTTAAAAGAAAAATTGTGTTTTGAAAAACGCCCATCGACAGCAGCCGTATAAAGAGAGGGTTTTTTTTTTATGTATCAGAATCCTATTAAAAGCAAAAACAGCAAAACAGAAGTTTTAGTCAAGGAAATACTGTCAATCTGAAGTGGAAGAATGGAAGAATCACACTCCTTTTATGTTTTCGAGAAGGAAATAACATTATAACATGAATTAAAGTTGAAAATAGCTAATTTTATAGAATATGGTCCATTTAATATGCATTAATTGGCCGAGTGGAAACTGTCTTGGCTCTCCCGTAGAAGCTGATATGGAAGTTCTTCCATATTTCCAGTCTTGGAGAGACAACCAATCAGCTCCAAGAAAAGTGAATGACTTCATCTTCAGAGCTGCTTTGGAAAATTACTGAGACTTACTTTGTTGTCACTGGACAAAACCACGACAGTGAAATGGGAAATGAAATATTGTTGCTTGGATACCAGAGTATATAAAAAAATTTTGAAAATCTACATACACACAAAATCTACATACCTGCACCAGAACTACTGGTGCAGGTAAAAAAATAATAATAAAATAAATCTAGAAATGACAGTATTTATATGTAAGATATAAATTCTGTTATTCAACAACAGAAAATTTTCAGTCAGAGGTTTCTTCTGAAACATGGTAACACAGACTGCTGCAGGAGATTCTTCCTGTCAACAGTCATCAACGTCTTCAACAAGAAAGTTGTATCATACGAGTTATAACAATATTTCATTACTCCTTGGGAATAATCAAATTATTTGATGAGTTTGAACTTTATTGTTCAAATCTTTTTGGAAAAACCTTTTACCTCAACAGTTTAATGTGAAATCTGTGGATAAAATCTCAAGTATCTAGTAATAAAGATCCATGGAAGTGATTTTTGGTGCATTTCTGACCTTCAGTATTAGTGGTGATGTGGGTTTGAGCTCCAGCACGCCGGACGGACTCAGCGGCTCAAAGATGGGGTCAGGGTAGTAGCTGAACGTCTCGTTGACCACCACCAGAGAGTTCACGTTGTCCATGTAGAAGCCGATCTCATCTGGGCCGGTGCCGGTGTCGGAAAAGCCCAGCTCGGAATCCGCCACCGACGGAGCAAGGCACACCATCACAGAGTTGTTGTACACGGTGCAGTTCTGAGCAAAAATAAGATTCAATTGGAAACTGAAACTGGTTGCGGTTGTAAATATTCAATTTTAGTCTATTTTTAAAACGCTCCAACAACCAATAAAAAGGAAGCAGCCCTGGCCTCTTTACAAAACACTTGGAATCAACATGCAGGCTGTAATTTTCTGCTAAAATGAATCTGTTGGGTATAATAACCAATCCTTTTTGCAAGGCAATGCCCTGTGAAACTGTGGCGCTCTTGAATCCACTGGAAATGGAAATTGGTTGCAAATTTATGATCAACCGTTAATAACGGACAATGAGCTCTGCTCCCTTGCTTGTACCTGGGAGTATTTACATCATTGCTTTGGAGAATACATGAATACAAGATGTCACGACCAGCCTCAAGTCAATACACACTTCTGCTTTGATGCCTGTGCTCCTGTTGCTTGTGTGTTGTTGGCAAATTTCACCAAACACTTACATTGTGTCTTTTTTTTTTTTGCTTACACTGAAGAAGCTGTTCTATGTGGCCCTGACTAGAACAGCCGAAGCTGAAGTGATGCCATGGTGATATTAAAAGAGCAGAAAGGTTTTGTCAGCTAATCGTTATATTGTCATGGAACTTAGTGAAAAGGGCCGCAGCTGTTTGACAGATGCTGAGAAATGTAAGCGTGATTAGTTGTAAATGACGTTCAACATTGAATAGCATCAGCATTGTCCTTTAAGTGCAAATAAGCACTTTAACAGAAAGGCTGTGTGGGAAGCATTGTGGAGGCTGTCTGCATCAATAAGTCCCATCTTTTGCTACAGGTTGAAGTGCTTCAGAGTTGTTTAAAGTTCAATTCTCAGCCTTGGCGACTATTAGCCACAATCATCAAAGTTTTTGGGAAGTTTCTCTATAAATTATCTCTACAGTGCTTTTTAAAAAGTTTTCACACTCCTTGAACTTTTTCACATTTTGCTGACATTAAGATGTGAAATCTTTCTTTGTTGCATTGGGAATTAAGAGGCTTTGAGTTGTATTCTTCCACTATCGTTTTACGTAAATTCTACTTGGTTTGCAACAGTGATGGCCCATATGGGCAGTTGCCCAGGGTGGCACCAGAACAGGTGGCGGGTGGGACGGAGAGATGTTGCAGGCACCAGATTAAATGTATACTTATCGATCAATTGAGTTTTGAAAACATTTTATTCCTCCCATGCGTGTGCAATGGGCAATTGGCAGCTCTGACTTGTGGCTGGGAATATGGAGACTTTAGCTGCATTTCCAATACAAATTTTGTCGCTATTCTGCTTATGTATGAAAAAAAAAAAAAAAATAATTAAAAAAAAAACAATTTTGCAATTGCAATGGAAATGAAATCACACATGAACAAGCTAGCTGATGCAATAAGTCATTAAAAGTCATGCCAGTGACAAACTTAAGCTGTTCCAAATTATATTTGACAAATTTACAGAAATATGAATCATTATCCTCCTGCCACTTTCTGTCAACTTCTTTGTGGTTTTCACCAGTAGTAACATCCGGCTGTTGATCACTTGACTCGTGTGATGTGAAAAAAATCTGTTTCCATTGCCGTTTTGCAAAATACATCTATTATGATATAGCTGAGAAACCGTTTCATCTTAATCTCTTATCAAAAGACATGAGTGTTTTCGAAATTGCTGTTTCCATTAAGCAAAGTTATTTTTGTAATTTCAATACGTGCAATTCTATGTTTAATGAAAAAGCAGCCCATTTACATGTTCTGTGTGGGACGACATTTTGACCTGCCCTAAGAATTTAGAAGATTTTCTGTATTTTTATTTGAGCAGAAGGAGGGGCTTGCATCTTAAAAGCACATATTTTTAGTAGGACAGAACTTCAACACATTAAATAATTAATTAATTAATTTCATAGATTTTAACACAGAAAATTTTTTTATGCATTTAATTGTATTTTTATTTATTTTTTTGACATATATAGCTTCTGACCAGAACCTTTGTATTCACCTCTTTCTGGTTGAATCTAATGCATACTGGGAGTTAATTTTCGCTTAAAAAGCAATCTGATGGGATGCTGGAAAAGACTATTGTTGTGTTCAAGTTATGCTAAAAGAAGCTGGCACATCACCAAAGCTACTCAACACTAAAATGGCATCAAAATGCTAAGCATGTACCAGCAGCATAGATGTTCTCAATGTTAATGTTAGCGTTCATAGTCTACATTTCTAAACAGAAATTCATAAAACTTCCATGAATGATCAGAGGTTTTGAAACATTTGAACGCTGAATAAATATAAAAAAATAAAATACATTAATCAATGTCTTTGTTGTTGAACTTATATGTTTATTTATTTAATAACTTAGCAGTGAAAATAATTTTTGAATTTAAAATGCTGGTTATTTTGTCATTACATCATTTTATTTATATTAATTAAAACACAATTAATTGCAGCTCCTGTAATTAACTCAATAACATTTTTTTACCTGAGTTGAGGTTCAGATCAAAGAATAACAGAGGTGATCACGCTATTTCTGTGGATTAACTTGCCTCTATACATATAAGTCATACATACATATAAGTCACCAAAGCTTTCAAAAGCTGCTTAATTGTTTTTATTATTATTATTTTATGTGTACAGCATAAATAAGAACTGGTACTTTTTATTTATGTTTGCATTCTGGTAGATATTATGCCCTATATGACTTTCAGAGCAAAACACCGGATGAATAAAGTTTTGACTCAAAAGGCGATAACAGTTGCTGTCAAGCTCTAATTTTCTAACACACCATTTTTCATGCATTACTTTGGTCCTGGTCCATCACTGTGTACAAACCTTCTTATTCTCCTTCACACATCTCTCAGGGTTGTACGACGCACTTATGCGGCAAAGTGACATTTGCAAACCCCTTTGGCCTGAGGTAGTGTTACAGTGCATGTCTGCAGCTGGTTAATAAAGAAAATGTGACATAAGCAGAGCATGACATTGAAGAGGTTTTTTTGCTCCAGCTTGTTTTTCAAACTTGAATGGTTATTTTACATTAGCGCTTATCTAGAAAATGGATTCTATGGTGCAATTGCAGTATATTTTGGTGGGTTTGTAATCTATATGGAAGTACCTTAATTCACTTGTGTAACTAAATTATGACCTAAATTATGAGTTTGTTCATTCAAGGTCGGCTCTGAAAAACATTTGTGTCGCTGATGCCAGACTCACATGAAAAGACTCGGCCTGCCCGTATTTGGCCCTGATTTTCGGTTCTCGGATGGTTGCTAGGTTGGTCCCACTCACTGTTAGTGGGGTTCCACCACTGTGGAAGGAGAAAAACAACAGGAAATGACAAAGAAACTTTGGCCTACAGTTACAGGGAACATTTTCTTTGCATCTTGCTTCAATCTGCTAAACTATAACTCCTTTCATTTGAAGATACAGGAGATTGTTTTTTTGCTAATTGTTCAGTAATATGGTTAATTCACATTCTAAAATTGTGACAAATACAATTTCCAAGCACAAACTGTCATATGTGTATTTATTTGGACTGTGTGATGTTGACTTTTGCACACACATCATCACTTCTGGGTTGACAACAAGTGCCTGATAATTTTAAATGGATCTTTTATTTGTTAAAAGATTCTTTGTGTGGGCCAAACGAGTGAGGGTTTTTACTTTCTCACTGAAAAATAGCTTCAATTCACTCAGATGACATGTTGGTGCATCCAAAAATGATTAATAGACTCAGAGGCAAGATCACAAGGTTCATAGGAAAAGTAAAGACTTTATCGCAAGAGACTCGGCAACTCAAAGAGAGTCTTTTTACTAAACTTAAATTAGATTTATGATGTGTTCTTTAAAGACGTCTCAACCTCTTGAACATTCTTTGTTTTACAGTGTCGGTTCTAGCCTCTGAGTCAGTTTTCTGTGGAAGGATCACTACTTTTCTCTGCTGCTGGGCTATTTGTGCCACAGTGAAATATAGCCAAAAAGATTCCGTATCATGAGTCTTTCTGCAGTTTTCTCACTCCCTTCTGGGAAATAAGCTTTAGTCTCCATCACATAAAAGCCTGAAATAAAATCTTGAAGAGATCATAAACACAGGACAGCTTTTGAAAACATTGAAGCGATAATGGTGCCGTTCAGGACTATCGTTGTCAACAAACTTTGAGTAATAAAATGGAAGATGAGATAGCACTCAACTCCCACTTCATTATGTGTACCTATCAATCGGTTAACAACTGTAGTGAATCACCCAATGACATGGTAGCAACTCAATAGATATGAGCATCTCAACATAAAATGTGCATCATAATAGATACTTATGGAACTTTGAAAAAGGCATGTTAGTGATTTAAGATACATTAGAAATAACTAATAAACTGGGGTTTTCATGTACAATCACCTCTCAAGAGCGGTCTAAAAATGGTCCAGTGAGGTACCAGCATCAACAATGCCGAGTTCTTACAGGAATAATTCCCCCGGTCTAAGATGGTACAAAGGCAACTGAAAAAATAAACAAGAGTACCATCTCTGAATTTGAAACATCTCCACTTCTGCTCCAACTTTCAGACGTTAAGGCCAGAATTTGGAGTAGGCAACAGGGACACACTGAACCACCATGTCCACAGTGGTGGTGGTCTTGTTCACAGTGGTGGTGTAATTGGTATTGTAGGAGGTTTCTTGACCCATTTTTGGTATCTTGAACCTCAGGTGAGCATTATTTTAACACTTCAGCTAACCTGAGAATTGTTCATGACCATCCCTTCATGACCACACATCACAAAACTCAAACCATCAAAAACTGGTTTCTTAAACTTTAGGGTGAGTTAATTTTTACTTAAATATCCTCCAAAGTCACCAGATCTTAAACTAGAAGCAAGTGAGTGATAGTTTCTTGTCAATCTCTGGGGAATATTTCAGATTGTTGAATCTAAGGTACTAAGAATTAGGGTACTTCTGGTGACACATTGGGGTTCAAACAGGTACTTGTAAAGTCTACTCAATTAAGTGTCTGGAGATACAATCTTCCATCAAAAAAAGACTTTTACAACAGAAGCACTGGTTCAAGTATGTGGGATTCAAATGTTACACCCATCTACCCATGTAACCTGTTTATTCTTCCAAGGTTGCAGATGTCTTGCTTTAGCAGTCAGTGGGTAAGAGGCAAATTGAAACTTGTCTGTCTCCCTATTAAAGGGCAACACATGACAAACAGTCTAAGCATACTCACACCTCAGGGTGATTCAGAGTCCTCAATTAATCTAACATATAGGGATTTGAATGGTGGAAGAAAGCCAGAGTGTTTACAAGGAGAACATGCAAACTGCAGAAAGATTCCAATCAAGGCTTTATTTTTTCTTTTTTGGAACTACTGGCCTTTACTGAAGAGCAGAGGGTCATGGACTAGTGTGGAGAAACAGGAGGAAGACATGCAGCAAATGGCCCAAGACGGAATAAAACCCAGGACAACCAAGTTGAGGATTACAGCCTTTGAATGTGGTGCACACTCTACCAACTGAGCAAGCTAGCACTCCTTAGAACCTTTTGCTGCAAGGCAACAAAGCTAACAACAGTGAGTCCCACACAAACACACCATTTTTCAGTTCCATCCATCCATCCATCCATCCATCCATCCATCCATCCATCCATCCATCCATCCATCCATCCATCCATCCATCCATCCATCCATCCATCCATCCATCCATCCATCCATCCATCCATCCATCCATCCATCCATCCATCCATCCATCCATCCATCCATCCATCCATCCATCCATCCATCCATCCATCCATCCATCCATCCATCCATCCATCCATCCATCCATCCATCCATCCATCCATCCATCCATCCATCCATCCATCCATCTTCTTACACCCTGGTCCATAGTGGGATCGGGAGTTGCTGGTGCCCATCTCTAGCTAACGTTCCGGATGAGAAGCGGGGTCACCCTGAACAGGTCGCCAGTCTGTCACAGCCATTTTTCAGTTGTTCTTTGGATGACCACCATGTCACACTCACTGTGATCTCCAAGGCTTTTAAAAAGTAAAGGAATAATATAAACTCTGGAAAACCTTTCTTTGCTGTGAAAGCAAAAAACGGTTTTCCACTGCTGCTCCTGGTACTCGCCAAATATTCTTAACCTTGTATTTTCCATGCCATGGTGACTCTCCTCCATACTCTACACATCAGCAGCAATGCTACCACCAATGCCAATAAAGTTACCAGACCTGATCAAAATTCTAAATTACCAAGTTACGCCAATCAAACATAATCTTCCCCCAAGAAAATTCATTATAAAATTCTGCATACATAGCTCTATGTGTTTTACAAGTGATTATCTGAATGGCTCCTAAATGATGGGAATACCAGAACTCCCCGAAGGAGTCATTATCAAGACAATTGCAACGGATATTTCAATTCTGCGGTGGAGCGATGCCAATCACAGAAGCAAACCTTAGTCACCCTTCCACAGTACAAGGACTGAAGAGTACATCACCTTCCCATGCATTACCACTGACTTCTTCTATATGCAGGTCTCTTTTCTTACTCAGCATTAATCTGACACTTATCCCAAATGGCTTGGTGCAGAGGCACTAACAGCAGAGGAAATGATTTGAGAGGAAGCAGAGACAGAAGCTCTTAATATCTTGGATTGGGAGTCTGGCAGGCTTACAGAAGACATTCATCTCCCGCTCTAATCCAACCAGGCTTAGAATAGCTGCAAACAGTAATGCAAGGGTTTGACAGGAGTAAGTGATAAAAGTAGGTACACTGTCTCTCACATTGTAGCTAGATATTAGACTCTAGCCTGACTATTCTTCTAAGCTTCTCAGAGTGTTTCTCTGCTGGCATTACCTCTATTATTCTTTGTCAAGGAGAACAACATTTATCCTCAGCTTTTTTTAAGATATAACTGCTGGAATGTCAAGACTCTTGTTAGTTGTAGGTTTCAGCCAGTCTTTACTGATGAGTGGATTTGTTTTGTGAGGGTTGTTCACAGTTAATTCTGGGAAAGCACAATTGTGTAATTTTTTTTTTTTTTGTCAAGGATTGTAACAAATCATATGATTAAGTGTTTTTAATGAAGTTATTGATACCTGTTTTTTTTTTTTACCTGTCAAGAAATTACTATTAAAAGTGCAACTATGCGACATTGGGGTAATGTGCATTAAGTGATACAGAGGTCAACGCAACTAATTTTCAAAGTGGGAAACAAGAACCGTTGCCATTCAAATAAGGTAGAGTTGGATGAGTCTAAGTAAGTTAGAAAAAGACTAGAAGAAAAGCAGGTGTTCAAAGTGAGGCCCATTTGTGGCCCTTGGACTGATTTTGTGCGGCTCCCCCAACTGGAATAAAAAAATGGCTGCAAATCAAACCAGTCCAGCACAAGATTGATGCTTTTTATTTGTAGTCAGGGTAAAATTACTACCCACATATTTTTCCTACAATGGAAAATGATAAGTATATCACAAAGTATTTGTCTTTTTATAAGCAATTTTTTATAAGTAGAACCATATTAATCCAGATAAGCAGACATAATGCACTCAAATCAGCTTCTACCCGATTTTTTAAACTTGGCTACATATAGCAAGTAAATTACCTAAATCCTGTTCTTAGTCTGAGAATGAATTTGTTCAATTAAATCCAAAAACATTTCATACAAGACATAACATTGGCAACTTTATTTGCTTGACATTTCCTAAAAGACACATCTACAAGTTGTGGAAAGTAGTAAAATTGAGGTTTTGTATCTTGATAATTAACATGAATAATTATTGTGGAATGATATACATAAATGTTTTATGTCTATTTAATTTTCTCAGGTATAAAGCAAATAATTGTCATAGCTTACAGAAACACTGTGATGCATCAGAATAAATTTAACTTGACATAAAAAAGACATGAAAACCTAAAAGAAAAGAAAAAAACAGTGCATAAGGAAAGTAATTAACAAGAAAGCCAAGGATTTACTTAGATGAACAGACTTTTAGACGAAATGTTTACTTTACTGCAACAAATGCATCAGAGGAGCTGGCAGGCTGCATGTCTTAAATGCCGAGCTGTCCTCTAGTCTAGATCATTCCCACCCTTCTTCCTTCCTCCTCAGCTTGATGGATATTTGTGCAGAGTCCCTCTGTCCCAGTTTCTCTCCTCTTTGTCTAAGTGAGTGTCTTGAGCTTAGGTACATGCTTGAGGGAACAGACAGCAAGACAATCAGAATAAACTCCTAGAGATAGCCTGTGAAGGTCTAATGCTGTTTGAGTTCCTCCTTTTATCTCTGGACTCGCTCCCTATTGTTTCTTTGCCAACCTTTGAGCTGATATGTTGCGTAGATAGAAATTGCTTTCCCTTAATTTTGCGTATGCCTAAATAAAATAATACAGGTAAAACCTTGCAAATTAATATCTTAAATATAAAAGAGCTCATTCTATGGCAAAAACTTTTTATCGGAAAATGTGAGATTTTTGGAAATTGGTGTGTTTCCATTAAACAGATTAAAATTAGAAATTCTGATTTGCGCAATTAAACAATCAACGCTTGTACAGGGTTTGCATGGTTACTTACAAACAAACCTGCTATTTTTGTGGAAATCATCATTCCGGAGCCTCCTGAAGTAGAACCTTGTTTTTGAGCTGACACACACAAACAAACCCACACAGGCTCTCAGTGGGTGGTCAGGAAAAAAAACTGAGCCTCATCTGATCCTTGGCCAGTTCTACTGGGCTAATAGAGAAGGCTTCGACACTTTTCCCTAACAAGCTCTGCTAGAATGTGCTGATAAGTAACTATAGGGAGGATGAAAGGTTTTTGACTTTTCCAAAAGTAGTGAAAAGGAAATGAGCTGTCACAGAGGTATTTATATCAAAAAGTTTTTGAAGGATTTTGTAATAAAGGACCAAATAATTGCTTCCACAACCACTCTTGCTCAACTGTTTCCTTAAAACATAAAAAGCAAAAAAAAAAATAGAAATCTCTAAAGCCACCACTGGTTTACCTCCATCTAAACATGCTGCCAGTGTTCTCACGCAGCACTTAACCCGACTCAGATGGCTTCCAAAATGTTTTCAACAAACTTCTTCTGGCACATCCACACACGCGCACACACCACAAAAAAACAGCCAACAACTTTCCTCAGCCTGTACTCCTCGTGGGACATTCTGGACCCGAAATCCAGGTAAAAAGAGAACATTTAAGTCACTGCATTTGGGCACAATTTACATGCTGGAATTGATTCTCAAAGGAAGCTGCAGCAAATCACATTATTGCTTCTCAAAATTGTTACTTAAGCTGATCTATTAGCAAACTGAATGGGCTCATAATAAGAACTAACTAAAAGTTTGTGGTTGAGCTCAGTGGCGTGACATCACAGTATCGTGGCTAACCTGGCAATGCTCCAGTCGGGCTCGATTTTCAGAACCGTGGGGTCTTCAGTGTAGTTAAATCTGACCTCTGGGTTCCGGAGCTCGGCGTCATCAATGTCCACCAGGACTGATGAACTACTTGGTGAAAGTACAGCTGGGGTAACGCACACAATCTCTCGTGCATTTCTCCTGAATCGGGAAGATGAAACAAATCATTAAGGAAGGTTATTTTACACTGTAGGCACTTAAGATAAATCAAATGTCCTAAACTCCTGTTAAAACAGCCAAGAAACCAATAAAATCTGTAATTTATTCAAAAATACAAATGAGGCATAGTGGTATGTCAAAATAATAGTTTGGATTATTCTGTCGTATTTGTGTCATGACTCAGAAACAACGAATTACATTTATAAGAACTTCTACCAACAGAAAAAAAAAACACTTTTTGAAATCATAAATGATCACTCTCTTGTTGTCACACTATTTGAACATTAAATGGTAATTATTTATAATCGAGTAAAATAAATGTAGTGTTTTTCCCAAAAACACTATAAAAAAAAACGGTTAAAACTCAGAGTGGTGATCATGTGTATTGAGACTTTTAAAAGTTGAGATGTCATTACAGTGTGATGGTTCCTGGTTTGCAATGACTGAAACAAAGTGTGAGACAAAGACAGACAAGATACATTAGACTGCAGTGACAGTGTGGAGCCACAAAACTGCTTTAAGAAACCCTTTAACATCTGTCTCACAGATGTCTGAATTTTCCCTTGACGTTAATGCTAGTTTGTTTACTTTATTTCTGTCTGCAGTGTGATCAGTTCTCTATGTCTTTAAATGACTGGAGCCAGTGGGATTATAAACAAACAGAACTATTTTCACACTCAATATTATTATGTGCCAACTTTTCGTCCTAATGGTTGAGCATAGTTGTTTTTCTTCCCTGGCGCAGGCTGCACGTTACAACTGGTTACAATCAGACCCACACAGGAACCAGAAACCCAACAGATTTTTATGCAATACTGGAAGGCAGTTCTCCTAATTCTGCATAAGATTTTTAGGATATGTTATTACTGAAAAATGTAGTTTCAAATAAAAAATTAATTATCCATTCATCCAGCAGCAGGCCTGTTGCAAAAAACAATAAATCAATTAATCAATCAATCACACAATACATTAAATGAGCTAGATAAGAAAATCAGTGAGATAAGTTGATTTGTTTTTGCTGTGTTCTCTCTTTTTCTACCTAAGAGACTGGATGACAAAAAGTTTCTCCCCTCTTCTGTCCTTAGAAAAGGCTCAACACAAAGGGAGCTAAAAACGTCAGATTTCCTCTATGGGACTAGAGAGACAAAAGCTAAACAATTATGAACTTTCCAAACTTTCCACATGTGCCCTTAATTCACAAGCAGGAATTACGCTATTCGCTCAACTGGATGAGGACAAGTGACTGTCACCTCACTACAAAAACTCCACAGAAAAGAATAGAGAGGGAGGGAGCAATGCTCCTGTCACCGTGTCAGTGATGGGAGACTGTTACCCGTTAAGCTCATGGTCTCCTACCGCAGAGCGTAGCACGAATGCCCCATGTGGAGGACCGAGCCGGGAAAACGCTGGTTTAACGGTATGGGTGTGACTGAGTGAGATACTTTTCTACCTGAACACGAGGCTGACTGACCTACAACCATTACTGTTTTCATCAAATTTGTTTAGTTCTAGTATGTATTTATGCAGAACTAAAACATTTTACACAAAAATGTCAATAATTATACAGAAATGTAAATATATTATCCTGAAAAACCTATTTATTGAAAAAAACACCAAAAAAAACAAGTTGATTTAGGAGTGAGATACATTTTAAAGTTGGACCAAGTGGAATATTTCAGACATTTTATTACAATAAAGATGTGGAGACTCTACTCCCTAGAGGTGGTTAACGGTTCACACAACATCACTAAGCTACGTAGCATATATCACATCGATCATGGCCAAATCTTAGCAATTGGGTAAAATCAGATGCAATCCTTTATAACTTTAGCAAAGTCCACACCTCCAGCAAGCAACGGCTTCTCAATATCCTACAGTCCAGACATGAAGCAAAATGAAGAACAAGTGACTCGTTTTCACCAGGCTGTGACTCGATCTTGGACAAGAGGAACACAACAGATATTTGTGGCTCTGTTAACATACTTAGGCCATTAATAGAAAAATGTAAAGAAGTGAAAGTTTTGTTAACTGATGTCTGTACCTGTTATTGTTCTGCTCTTACCAATGAATTAACAGTTAGTTTATTTGTCCCCTTAAGTGCATCTCAATCCATTTTTGTCCCATAGGCCAAATAATATTTTGACTCGCAGTCTTAAATACAGTCTTCAGTAGCTACATGATCTAGTATGTATTTAGCACAGTTGAGTGGTGGCTGCTTTTCTGGGTCATGATTTCACGGGAGCAGTATGTGTGTAATCTATAAGGATGCCTTAAAGTGTATACGCGCACTTTGATGTAGTGTTGCAGACATTACCACGTCTCTGTACACTATGGCGGCTGCAGAGGGAAGACGAATGTGTGTGAGAAATCAAAAAACAGGATGGAGAGTCTTCAACATCGGTCTGTAACCATAGCAACTCCATTGAGAAGAAAAAAGCCAGAGAGGGAAAGAAAAAAAATGAAGAAAAAAAAAATGTCCCAGCAATCTTCACAAGATGCCACAAACACAGTCCCACGGTTAGTGTGCGACAGATAAAGGCAGAGTTGAGGTGAGGGAACAGTTGTTGTGAAGTAGAGTCTGTGGGATTACTGCGAGGAGGCTGCCGCACAGAAGTGGCTGCTGTGACATCAAAGCGAGCATATGCTGGCTTCAATAGAGATTAGCTACGGGAGGCTAATCCATGAATTTGACATGCAAGCAACTGTGGTTATAGTTTGGATTTCTTTTTTTTTTTTGCTCTTCTTCCTCCATCCAGTCGATTAAGGGGAAAGCTTGTGTGAGTTTGTACAAAGAGATGCAATGTGTCGAAAGAGCAACAAGCACACACACACTCCGTCAAAAACATGTCATCTCACACACACACACACGCACACAAGAAAAATAAGATACAGCCTAACCTCACACACTCATTACATGCTTACATGTCTTTGGAATATCTTTATGATAATAACATGTTAGAGGCAAATATGAACAAATCTTCAAACGGTGAAACATTATGCAAATATGGTGTTTGGTGTATTCTCTTTTTTTCACCTGCAGTTTATTCAGGTTTAGTGAATCAGACGGAAATTGCTCTAGGTCATTTTTAAAATTATATAAGGATAATAATTTTCTAAAAATGAATTTCAAATAAAGAAAACATTAAGTTAAAAAAAGTGTGTCTTGCCTCTTAAAATGGCAGGGTTGTGGTCCGATGCTGACAGAAACGAAGCTGCCTGCGTTGAGGTAGCTTCCCTCAATGGTGACCCGGGTCCCGCCCGAAATGGGTCCCTGAGACGGCTGGATACGAGTGAAGTATGGAGTCTGGATGAAAGGAAAGCCAGAAAAATGGATGTGTGACCGATCAGTATGAAAGTATTTCACTGCCAAAAGCAAGAAATACATTTGCTTCATTCAGAAACTTTCTTGCTTCAACAATATTTTGTATCTCATCACACAAAGGTTTTCAAAGTTTTGCAGTTTTTGAATATATATATATATATATATATATATATATATATATATATATATATATATATATATATATATATATATATATATATACACAATATCCCAGAAAGCAATAACAGTTTTTAGAAAAGGTGAAAATTTGAAAAAAAAAATGTTTTGTTGTATTTTTGTTTTTGTTCTTTCATGATTTTTGTTAACAATAATAACCTTGGTTATAACAAGGTACAAAACTTGTTAAAATTAATTTTATATCATAAACACATGGAAGTTAGTCATTTTAAACCACTGGAAAATGCCCTTCATAAAACATTGTTCTGTTTTAATCACGGCTTTAAAACATTAAATCATTTTAATACATACACAGTACAAACAGAGGCATAAAATATGTGACTGAATCATTAAACCATCGTAATGAGAACCTTGAAGTCCATTTCAGCTGCACTTTTATGAGCAGAGCAGAATAGAAAATTTGAATTCAGTTCAGAAATATTTCTGAACAAATAACATCATAAATGCTCCCTGGAAGATTGTTCTTACCACAAAGGTGAATGGCCTTGGTGACAGAGCTCTGTAGTCATTGACGCAGGCTCTCACACACACCTCCACCTGAGCTTCCTGAACTCGGTAGCCAGTGGCATCGTTCAGAAGACAAACGATTCTGCAGAAGTACAAAGTTAGGTAACATTTAATAGTAGCTTCGAAATGTCAAAGTGGCAACATTCAAGCTAAAGGACTGACTGTTACACCCACAGCACGGGTTGCAGTGCAGCAAGGACCCCATAAGATTGGATCCTAATCTGAATCTAAGTGATGCTGGAAGAATGGAAAAGAGCAACGCATGAACCAAACGTGAAGGTAGCTCCAAGGCGACAAGAATAACGCACAGAATAATGGATGCGTGTGTGATATTTGAATTGAGACGCCCTCTATCTCAACATGCATCATTTCCCGACTAACTGCACTTCAGGGAGATTGTTTGATCTGCGTGAACTCAATTCCTCAGCCGCGTAGGACCCTGCAGAGGAGTGAATGTCAGGACAGAAGGATGAGAAAAATAAAAAGCAAGGAGCAAAGGCAGTGAGTTACAGGAGAAACACAAACCCGTGTCACTTTTCAACACGTTTCCAGGGTCAAGCGGGAACATTTGTCACTCATTTCAGGAGTTTAATTTGATGAGGTGACTACAGTTAGCATTTCTAAAAAACTCTCAAAACAGTTTAACTGTCACAAGCATATTACAGTTAAACTGTTTACAACCACAAACGAGTTTGTTTTGTTGCAAATTCATTTAAATGTTCAACAGAAATACAGCATGAATTTTAACAGGAAGAAAATAGAGATTCACAGTTTTCAATAATGTTTTGCAAATAAAGATCTGAAAAGTGTGACCTGCACTTATACTCAGCCTCCCTTGACCCAACATGAACAGTCTGTATTCTAAAGCATTGATGTCAACATTATTGTTAGAGTTGTTATCCTGCTGGAAAGTGAAGGTTCCTGTTAATGTTTTTTTTAAGCATCCCCACAGCATGATGCTGCCACCACCATGTCTCACCATGACACCGGAGGCAGTGTCCGGTGTCAATTTTGTTCTACACAGAATTTTGATGTACAACATGTGTTCATTACAACTGATAGGACAATTTCAATTGATTGGTAGTCACAAGTTAAAAGCTGTGCACATAATTATCACTGTGATATGCTCTGGTCATATGCAAATGAATTATTTGGTTAATTTTATTTAGTTTTGTAAATGCTCATTATAGCTTTAGTCAGTTTCTCTCTCCCTTCTGTTCCCTTCAAGAGGAATCCAAAATTTTGGCCACAGTGGCAGAGGATCACAAAAATCTGACTTTTTTAGCAGAAGAAGATGCAGAAATAAAGAAGCAATATTTTAATCTGTTGAACAAAGTTATCTGATTGGTGAAGAAATGAAGTCATATGGAACCTGCATAAAAAGCTTTATGCAGAGAAAATTATACCATTCTTTATTTTTTGGGGGTTGGTTTTTGCTTTTGTCCAGATAAAAAACCTTGTAGCTCCGCTACAAGAAGTGGTCATGGTTCACTCTTTCTCCCGGCTATTTTTAGCTAAGTTTAATGGATAGATGTGTCAAAGTCTGATTTTGAGTAGAAGTCATTGAATGGTTGTGGACATAAACACTACTAAATTAAAGTGAAAGCAAAAAAAAAAAAAAAATGATTAATAATAGAAAAATGCTTAACTAAATTACGCAGTTTTACACTTCAGGAGGATTTTAATGATCATTTTAAACTGTCTCTAACTGCATAAACCAGGCAGTTCAGTGACATCCAGACACACTTGAGGTTCTCTGACTTGCCTCTCAGCGCTGACATACTCCTGTTCGATGGGCACGCAGGGAACCTTTCCCAAGACCACTCCCATCTGGATGTCTCGGAACTGTAGGCCCAGGTTTTCCCCCCAGATCGTCAACCTGGTGCCCCCTTGACGAGGTCCGGTTTCTGGGAACAACTAGATCAACAGAGAGGTATGAGAGAGACACGAGAAAGAATGAAGGAGCGCGATCCATTTATTTTGCTTCTGATTCCGATATAAATATCTGAAGTTTGGTATCAACCAAAGCAAATCTGGTGCACAAAAACAGTCTTGAACTCATTCGAATCATTTTTTTTAAACACAAATACAAATCTACAGAATTACAAATTTATTTGATACATCTGCCTCAGTTCAGCACACTGAGGTACACCAAAGCTTCACAAGCTTAATCAAACATGTAAAAACAGCTTTAATTTGAACAGTCAGTGCAATTAGGAGTTTAGCTGCCAATGTAAAAGAAATAAATGGACAGAAACAACAGGTTGAGTATTTTGGTCAAACATATAAAAAGAAAATAATCTGGAACAAACTTTCTTTCAAATGGTTTAGAAAGAGCATTTAGGAATTCTAAAAATAATATAAAATACATCTTAAATGATGACACTGCTTCAAGCAGAATGTATAGAATTAGACTGAATACATATACACTTATGGATTGGGAATATTATGACCAATACCCAGTATAGAAATTTTGTCAATGCGAGCACTGATACAGAGATTAATTTTGGATCAGTGCAGCTTTAGTTATGGAGGAACTGAATGTTTTAAACAGTTATTTTCCACTCAAACAAACAAAACCGGCAAAGCATGAGATACTGTAGGTACACACTGCTTTTAATGAAGAAAAATCACCTTTTTGACAGCGAAAAAAACAAAAACAAAGTGGCGCAGAAAGTGCAAAATAGAAAAAAAGGGTTCACCAACACACAGAATGAAGCTGCCGTCATCTCAGTATGATTGAAACTTATTACGGCGCCTTGGCTTCATCCACAGGGCTGTGGTGGCGCGGTGCTCAGTTGCATCGACAGACCATAATGTGATTTATCTAGCCAGATTATGGTGCGTAACGGGGACAGGTGTGGTGTGACAAAACAAATATGGTGACTGATGAACGCCGCTTGTCACAAACACACCCAAACACACAATTTCTGCAATAACTTGCGTGCACAAACCCAGCCCCTAATGAGCATTATGAGGGAATTATGTGTAATCGTCCCAGTGCCCTGTTCTGCTGCCGTACTTGGCTGAGCAGCATGCAATCTTTCTTAGATCCTAGAAAACCAACCAACCAGAGCTGGAGAACTGTGGACTGGTTTCAGTAGGAATGTGTTTCTCCAAAGAAAAACTTGAGAAAATTTGAGCAGAAAAAGCCAGCTGAGATCCAAAATTAGAAAAAAAAAACGAGTCATGCAATGTTGGCTCTTCAACAAACCATGAGCACCAGCTGGAGGTTAATTGCCTTGTTAAGAAGAAAAAGGCAAGTTTTTTACAGAGGGGATGAATTTATTTAATCAGTTTTCAAGCTGAGGTAAAATTTAAATCTTTTTTCATGTTTATATATTTATATATTTTAAATGTATAGCATAAGATATTCAGAAGTACAAAGTAGAATTAGGGCCACTAAAGAAAAAGAAAATGTTTTCTTTTTTTTCCCAACAGAAAAAATTCAAATCAGAAAAAAAAGTCATAATTCTGACATTTTTCTTTGAATTCTGATTTTTGATCTCAACAAACTGAAGTCAGAATTTTGTATTTAAAGTCAGATTTATGAGAAAAAAGTAAAAAATATATATATAGATATATATATATATCTATATATATATATATATATATATATATATATATATATCTATATATATATCGTGGCCATAATACTCTTTCATACAACAAACAGTATGGCAAAAGTTTTTTTTTTTTTTTTTAAACATCCTCACATCTTTTGGCAGAAGTGTAAAACAATAATAAAAAAATAATAAATAAATCATAGAATAACCTTAAATTAAAAATGTTGGAAAAATAACTTTTATTGATAGAAAATCTTTGTTTTACCATGAAAATTAATACCATGCTCTAATAATCCTGGAACGTAATGAGAAGGATTTTTATCTGTTTTTTTCAGTCTTTTTAACATAGCATAAAGTCATGCTATATATATATATATATATATATATATATATATATATTATATATATATATATATATATATATATATACACTACTCTGGCTACTGGCTTTCTGGGGGCACAACTGATGTAAACAAGAGAATAATCTCATGTTTCAACAAACTTATAGCATCAGTTCCCTTACAAAACAAGTTATAATTACATAAGAAAAAGAAAAGCACCGTATATGGATACATAGGACCATGTGGACCATGAGTCTGTTGAATAAAGTAATGAAAAAAAAAAAAATCAAACAGGCCTTTAAAAATGAATATGAACAGCTAGTTATTGAGTGAATTTTACAAGAACTGAAAAACCTCACTGTAAAATCTTCTCTCTTAAGGAGAGAAGAAAAGATAACATTACCTTTGGCAGCAATACACTACAAACCCATGCAGGAGTTAATAGAGGTAGACATTGGACAGATAAAGTGTGTATGATAAATATGCTCAGTAATGATTGAATGATGATATGATGATGATGATGATGATGATGATGATGATGATGATGATGATGATCAAGGTACAAATAATGGATTATTTCCATGAAAACAAAACAAAAAAAAAAAAAAAAAAAAAACAGAGAATGGAGGGAACTAAGCGAAAATACCAAGGCTCGGGCAAAGGGAATCGCGGTGGAAAATTCTGCCCCAGTATTTGGAAGCTGACTCACTTTGGAACCTCAGGCGCCAGCAGGGCCTCAGCACTCCAGTTCCACAAACACAATAGCTGGTAAACACTGACCAGAGCGAGTAGCCATCAAGCTCCAGGGTGCAAATATGGACAACAGATGTCGGGGGGTGGAGATGGGGGCTCCAGATGGGTTTGTAAGGAAGACGCTGTGACACCACAAAACATAACATCAGCTAGCCACCGAGCCCTGGGACACATAAACACTGGCAGCGCCTCAGACAGGCAGGCAACACAGGCAAAGAAATAACCACCACACTTTTAAAGAGATTTCCACCATCACGGCTTTAAAACAGAGGAGGCACACGAGTGTTTGTAAGATACAGAAGCTTTACTAGATTCCATATTTACTGTACTACTGCATCCAAATCTGTGTTTTTCTCCCATCACAATTACATTCATAAGAGAGAGAGCTGCACAGAGAGCAGCTGAAACACTCACCATTAGCATGTAAGACATTCAAAGCAACTTTTCAGCAAAACAAATATTTAAGTTTTGTTTTACCACAATTATAATCTGATTTCATTGAGTCAAATTAAAATGAAGAAGAGCTGGGCTAGGATTAGCCTATGCCTGGTTGTAATAAACAACAATAGATTGTTTTTGCCCAGTTTTTTTTTTTTTTTTTCAGTTCAACAAGATAAAGAAGACTTATGTTGGTTAAGTTGGTTAATGCAATAAGACTTTTATTCTTATTGCATTAAAGTAGTTTGACCAAAACTTCACTGAAACAATGTAGGCCCAAAACAGATTAACTGACTAATCATATCAAATTTAGCCTGGAACCCAAAGCAGGCTTAAATGGATAGGGAGATTCCATCCATAATTTAGTCCATTGAATAGGTAACTTATCATACACTAGGTTTACATAAATTAGATGGTGACAAGTTGTGATACTGAAGTTATGAAGAAGAGTGCTACAGAGGGAATCACCCACAGACGTGTGATGACCAATAAAGTTTTTCTCATTTCGACACCTTTTTGTGTTCTTCTGTAAATCCATACTGAAAGTCATAACAGGGACAAAGACATGGAGGAAAACAATCCACAAACAAAAAGAAAGACAAAAAAAAAAAAGACTTCAATAAGCTTGAGTTCCAGGAGTGTTGCACAAAAACACACATGAAAGACAGTTAAAATAAAAAATAAAAAATGGAATCAAACCCAAACAAAGTTTTTTATGAGGCTGCCTCCAGAGGAGCAGTTTGATGTAACCGCATGTAATCTGTGCCAAGGGCAGGCACAAGGTCCCAACTAATATGAGTGTTATAATAGCAGCACATTAAAATAGAGCAGCTTTCATTCTGGGTTCAAGACACGTAGGGCTTTTGTGACCACAGGGACTTCAACAAAGGGAGCTGATGCAACATCCTTTCAAGATTCCCAAGCCTTGGATCTCCACAGGTGACATTACAGTCTTCGTGAGCCGACAAGACAAAGATGTGGTGCTCAGAAACAGACGGGAAGCTTTTCTTTGCAGTGAATTTTAGATTTTCAGAAGCGAAGCCATTGTGAACAGAATTGTGTATTTTAGCAGTAGCTGGTTGATGGCATTTGAGAGATCTTCCAAATGGTCAATGATGGTAAGAGTATAGCCAAAGTGGCTACAACAATGAAGTCAATGTTTTGTGGCATGGTAGTTTCAAAACCCTCTGAAGGATTTGTGGAAAGATCGCAGAGTGCATCAAGGAGTGAGAGAGGAGACCTACAAACCCGACTCAGAACGGGCCAGAACTCCAGCAAACTGTTGGGAGAAGCTGTGAGAAGGAAATCCAAAGTGCTTGATCCAAGTTGTACAGATCAAAGGCAATGTTAACAACTACTGAAATACTGAGGACATGTATGTAAACTTCTGATTTTGAAGACATTATTAAAGAAATCTCTGACTTATTGTCACACTTATTATTGGGGAATTTAGCAGATAGAAATAAGTTTGGTAATTCTAATTGACCCAACACAAGAGAAGACAATGAGAGAAAAGGTGCATGTCTTTTTTTATTATTTTTTTTTAATTTTGTCATATAAAAACGTCTTGTTTAGCTCTATTCAATTGGGGACCAAAGTGGCAACATTTGTTACATTTTCAGTTGGTGAGGTTCATTTCACATTGCATTAGGTGAAACCAATGCATGATCTCTCATGCTCTTCTTCAGAGCATGAAAACCTCTGAAGAAGATCCAGAGCTCAACTCCCTCCTTCAGGAGATGTAAACAGAAATGAAGTGAGATCATATTTTAGTTGTTGTAGAATTTTTATTTTGTCTTTGGCTAAAGATAATAAGCCATTTCACCCATTACAGCTGCATTTGCATATTTGTTTAGGTTGTATTTACCCAGAATGCCATGTGCCATAGTCTGCTTCTTGTTCCAGCCTGATTGGTGTTCACATATACATTCAAAACACATCAGAGTTCACAAAACCCAGTGGAAATGATTTGTAAACAGTGTTCATTTGACAACAATTTTTTTCAGCTGTACTAAGATTTAGGATCCAGGCCTTCATATAGAAATAGAGTTTGCTATTTTGGTCTGAATCAGAGTTCCCATTGATACGTCCCCAAATGAACCGAACATTCTAGGCAAGTGAACTAGAGTTTGATTAAAGAAGAATAAACAGGGCTGGTGTGAAGGCGCCCCAGGTGTTCTTTAGGAAACGGCCGGTGGACGCAGAGTTTTACAAATATTGCAAATAATACACAACACACCGTTGAATTAGCACATGACAAGAATGAATGGCATTTTAAAAAGACTGCCTGAATTGACATTGTGTTAAAACACGAGTCACTCATACTACTATTAATAATTCACACCTAGACATAAAACAACCCCCACCATCCTCATGAATGCTCACATACATATGGAGACTTTTCAAATTATAGTGAGTGGCTTCATCTTCCTCAAATGCAACCATGAAAAACATATGCAAACACCCACACTCCCTTACCTTGGTGATCTTGGGGTGAGTGCAACGGCTGTTTCCAGATGTGGCGTGCATCCACCCCCCACCTTCACCCAGCTGCAGAGGAACGTTGGAGTTCCCTCCCCCCGTACACTCCTGCCGCAGGGAGCACTTCTTCTCTTGGACACACCAACCGCATTCAAACCTGGGGTCAGCTTTCAGGCACATCCCACAGCTGTCTCGTAACGCCCTACACTTGTACAGGTGGGCTGCATAAGAGAGAGACAAAAAAAAAAAAAGAAACGACTGAAATGTAGCATCTGCAGAATGAAAGCTTTAAAACAGGAAATGTCACAGGAGTTAGTTTGAAATAGGTTTAAAGAAGTTTAGGGAATTTTCTAAGCTTCCATTCATATACCAACCAGCATGTGCAGCATTTGGCTAACATGGCCTGGCTGTGAAATAGCTTTACCTTAATGAGATAATTCATCTGAATTTATTTGCTGTTTAAAGGCAGACTGCCTCTCAAAAATAGTAAATTGTTTCAATGTGTAATAAACTTTGAAATGGTACATACTATATGTATGTAGAACAATTTAAAGGGCCAATGAAGCCTATTTTCAAAAAGATGAAATTATGTTTTGAACATTTTGATAAAGTCAGAACATATTAATTTGCTAAGTTGCAAAAAAGTGTAAACACATGTTTAGTTGATGATTACCACTCTGAGGCTAAAACAAGAAGTAAGTTCTGTTTCTACTGATAAAAAAAGTCATGTTAAAAAAAGAAGAGCACCTGAAGGGATACCAGTGAAATTAATTCAACAGGTAATGTCTGCTAATGGCAATGGGATTGATGATTAGTTACATTCAAAAAAGTTCAATTAAATTAGAAACTGCACCAACACGGCAGACTGGAGAAAAGTAATTAAAAGTACAAAATGAATGAATAAATAGATAATAAATAAAATAAACCTCTAGCACCTTAGGAGCCGAGTGGGAGATGAAAGGAAGCCGGGAAGGGGACAAATTTTAGCTCCACTTGTTAACAAAACAGCAACCAGGATTGTTATGAATTCAAATGTGATGCGACTCAGAGGATCAGAGGAGTTGGAGCCAGAAAAAGTAAGAAGAAAAACCAGACTCAAAGACCTCAGATGAGGAGTGAGTAGTCAGCAGGGCAAAGCGTGCAGAGAGACACATGCAAACAAGCAGCAAAAACTACCAGTGGATGCTTAGCATTTCTGATTTATGCATAATCTGCTAATTGGAATCATAATTATCGCAGTTAACGCAACATTGCCAGCACCTGCAGGCAGATTTTTTTCCTTCTTTACCATCACAGCAGATAAAAAGATCTGAGGTTAAGATGGAAAAACAAAAATGAATCTCCATCCTCCTCCTCCTTGTTCAGCAGACGTTCGGCGGTCGGACTTCAAAGCGGGCTTCTCCAGTATCCATCTGCCTGCCTCGGCCCTCGGTTTGGCCCTAATCTGATTAGCTATGGTTCAGCTTAAAAGTAGTGCGACACTAATTAATCTGGACCAAATGAATGATTTAATTAACATTTACATCTCGACTTTACACCGGAGCAAAGCCGGGCTGGCTCTGAGCGGCTCTGCCCCGAAACGGATAACGCAGCTCTGATTCAGGAGGAAAAAAGAGACGAGGATGGAGAGAGGAGGGATTAACAGAGGATGGAGAGAGGAGGAGGAGAACAGAGGAAAGGCTCTTTATGAGATTTGTATGAGAGAGTACAATGTCATAAAACATATTTTCAAAGATTATTAAACTTTTAACATTAATTACTGCATTAAATTTAACAATCACAATGGGGAAAATGTGAAGGTTTAGAAAGAGAAATAATCTCTTCTAATCTCCCGTTTAACTCCTCAGACCTCACCGGTGTGCACCGAGCTCATTGCAAAATATCAGTTGTGTGTTGTAACAAAGCCGAGGGATTATGTCAGGAAGAATCATAACAGAGGAAATACGTAAAAAGATAAAAAGAAGGTACAATAACCTGGTTGCATAAGTGTGTAGACCTTCAGATAAATAATTTGTTATATCCAACTGCAAAGATCAAAAGGAAGACAGAAGTCCTTTCCTTCCAAAGAAGACGTTCAACCTCTGCTATAATCTTCTAAAAGCCAGTGGAAAAATGTGTAATAGTCTGAGGAAACAACCATAATACATTTGAAATTGGTCCACAATTTAAAATGTTGTGCTTAGCATGAGAAGATGAATACACATAACTCCAAGGACATCATGTCCACAGAAAAATATGGGGGTAGGAGTTTCATTATCTGGGGTCACTCTGAAGGTTTTGACCCAGAACTTTAGTTATCTGCTATAAGGTTTAACTTAAACGAGGGATAATAAACAGTCAACCCAAACATCCACTACAAGCAACAATAAAAATGGTTCATTATAAGAGAAGAAAGTTTTGGGACGACATGGCAGAGTTCGGAATAAAATGCAACAGAAGATCTGAGGAGTCACTTTAAGAAGATTTTGGAAAATGGATGACCCTACCACAGAAAAGAGTGAACATTTAAAGGGGAAAATTACAGTATTAAAGTAGAAAAAGGTTGAAAGGACTGACGCAAAGAAGGATAGAAACAAGGAATGACACAAGAGACGAAAAAAAATGACAATGAAGAAATGGTTCACAAAAGAAAGAAATTATAAACAAAAATAATGTCAAGAAAAAGATGGAGAGAAAGAAAAATAAAGGAAGAAATACAAGGATGAGAAGAAAATATAACACAAAGTAGAAAAGAAAGGAGGGAAGAATATAAGAATTAAATGGGCGTAAAAACAAAGAAAGAAAAAAAAGATAAAGGTGAAAATATGAAGTTAAGGACACAATCTTGGATGACTAATGTAAAAATAACAGTATTTCTTTAAAATACTGTTATTTTTACAACAGATTAACAAACCATAGTATTTTTCAGTCTTTGTGTTGTTTTTGATCAGCAGTGGTTTAGAACCTGCTGCTCTCTTATGGACACACTGTTTGCCGAGTCTCATTCTACTTGTGAATGATGAACTCTGATCCTAATCAAGGTGAGTTGGGTTAGATCCACGTTGCTTGGAGCATTTATGTGCTTCTGGTTGAGGATGCTTTTAGCCTACTTCATGTTGTCAAATAAGTTCCACATCATGTTTCTCCAGTCTGGGGTTGGACAGGAACTGAACCAATGATTAAATGCAATGACTAGCTTTTGATAGCCTCAATAAATGAAAACACCATTTGAAAGCGTCCTTTTTGTACTTACACGTGACAATAAATCATTAAAACACAGTGACTATGAAAAGAGCCATGATTGCTGAGTATGCATTCTGTAACCAAACTGCTCATCTGTCACCATCGTACCAAAATGAGGTCAAACGTAACGTAACGGGAAGTGATGAAAATCTCCTCATATGTCATTTCAGGAGGGAACAGAAGCAGAAGTTACCAGATTAGAAACGGTTAGTTAATCCACGCGCATTCAGAAAACGGGACTGTTTGACACGGTCGAGAGCGAGACTCGCATTATCTTGTGTAATGGGACGTCTAAAATCATTAGCCTCCACCTCCCAATGTATTGCACTTGATGAAGAATTTACAATTTGTAATTGTTTTCCACTTCATGCACAAATAGTGATTAAAATAATAAATACCATCCCTCTGTGTCGCTTCTGTTTTTTTCCCTTTATCATCCCTTTTTATTCACATCTACCCCCTGCCATTACTCAGTGCATTCATCAACCTGTCACACACCCGTCGCTGCTCTCTTTTTCCTCCATCCTGTTGGTTTACCCTATTTGTTTATCTTGCTGTCTAACATCTATCCCTATTAATTTCAGTGTTGGGGTTTTGTTATCATCACCATCCATCAATCACTCCCTCCGCTCTTCCCATATCCCCAGAGACGAGAATAGTGATTTTCCTAAACAAACGCCACACTTTCACCTTTCTTGCTGATGGCTGTCAAACATGAAATTACAGAGTTCCGCTGAAAGGGGAAGCGTTACGTGCCGATGTTGCTTGGCGAAACTTTATTGTGAGCAAACAAATGGTTGTGTCTTTCACCGAGGAAAAAACAAAAGAAAAAGACAAAAAGAGAAAAAGTAGGAAGGATAACTGTTCTCTTACCTTGAATGTTGAACGGGTTGTCAATGACAAAGTTTCCGTTCCACACAACGGAGAGGTCAACCGGCAGGTCACTGATGGCGCCGCCCTCATAGTCGTACTGCGAACAGAAAGAAAAAAAAAAACAGACACAAAGAGCGTGAGAGAAATTGGTGATTCATGATGGGATCCAATGCAAATTGGGCAAACTCCGGCAGAAATTGTTTCATTTGCATAGTGATTCAGGCTGGGCCACTCTTCGCAGATGCCTGCGACATAGCCCCAAGAACACACAAACCCAAATCTTCCAAACAGACATGTTCCATAAATACGCTGAAAATGCAGGTTACGGGCGAACGGGCTCAGAGAAGTGGAAACGGATGGAAACGGAGGATGCGGGGAGACGAGACAGGATGTTGACGAAGAGAAGACGAGGAGGAAGGATGAGGGCACAGCAGAGGTGTGGAGGCAGCCAAAAATCAAACGGTGACGTGTGTGAAAAGGTCCTTTAGTCGTTTAAGCACAAGTTAAGTGGTGGGATGAGGGGGGAAAAGACAGATAAGATGCAGAGCAGAGGAAAGTGAAATTGGCATTTCCAATTTGCTCACTGACACACTGGATTTGGTAGACGGAGCTCGACCGTCCCGTGTGGGACACACACTCACACACACACACAAACTCCTGATACAACTTGAATTTCTAGAAAGCAGTTCATAGTCATGTCAAGTGTATTTTTACAGAACATTCCATCAACGAGACAGTTCAAAGTGTTTTTCACCATAAAAACATCATACAGTCACAAATTATCCACAAAGCTCGAAACATTTCATTTTATCAATTGTCTTAAAAAAAAATCATCAAAATGTTCTAAATTTGTATCAGAACATTTCTGGTTCTGATACAGAAACCAGAAGCCCTGAGACGTCTGGAAGGTTGATACAACAGCAGCAGGTCTTTAATGTATTCTGGTCGAAAGACAATCAGTGATTCTAAACTACTCATGGTATTTTAAAGTCTATTCTCTCAGAGGAAGGACTTCAGAACTGGGTGATATTCTCTATCTACCTGGTTGTAGTCAGAACCCCAGCAGCAGCGTTCTGGATCAGCTACTGCTGGACCATTGATTTGTTAGACAGACCTGTGAAGACACTGTGCAGTAATCAAAGCATGGATGAGTTTCTTCATGCGTTTATCTTTAGCTCAGATCTTGGTGAGACAGTAGTCCTCTAATACTGGTAATGTTCTTCAGGTGATAGAAGGCTGATTTTGTAACTGTCTTTTTTTTTTTTTTTTTTTATGCTCAAAACTATTTTTGCCAATTAGGCATGCATACACTTTTAGTATGAATCCTTTGATGAGACTCCAGATCTCAATCCGATTTGTGTGCTTCACTACTTTTATTTAAAGAATCTTGCTTTGGTATTCCTGAAAAAGAGAGGTGGTAAAGTTAGGGTGAAGCTGTCACAATGAAGAGAAAGAAGTGGCAAAGAAAAGAGAGACATTGTGAGGAGTCACTGTGGGACTGTGGCCCTCTGTTGAGACATGAAGAAGATGAGATGACCACAGACCAATTAAACCACAGGATTCTGGCAGGTCAACAGCTTCTTAAGATAAGGATTTAACAAAGACACAAAGGAGCGGCTGATTAAACATCCTCCCTTCCCACTCGTGCATTGTGACCATGATCCATCACACATGAGGTAGGCTGTTGACATTATTAGCATCACTTTTGCATCCCACTGGCAAGTGCTGTGTGTACAGCAGCCTAGCGAAACCACAAGACCCTTCTCCCCCCCATACTCACTACTTCTTCTCTACTCCTCCATCTTTGTGGCACGGCCCCCATTAAACTTTCAGGGTTTCAACTTGTCTGCCTTCACCAAAACACTGGCTGAGCTTGTTCCCCTGTCAGTCCCTGCCCACCGTGCTGGCCACCGCATCATGCTTTATTCATGCTGTCACATGGTTTAAAATGCCAGGACAAACCGCACTGTGACACGGGGCGTCACCCGCTGTCTCACTCACTTTCCGTGGGGAGAAACAGGAAAAGTTGGACACTGGTGTTAATGATGGACCACAAGAAGAGAAAGGAAGACACAATTGGGGAAATAAGAAAAGATGGAGAGCACCCTAAAAGGATGAAATCACTTGATAAACTCCTTTATGAACATTTCAGAACTAGAAACATACAAACCGCAGCTACAATCACTGTTTTATTGAGCTAACATTAGCATTAGCCTGGATTCTTCTTGTGTAATGCTTTGTTTCTTTGTAAATAAACTGAAGTGATATTAGTGCTATGTTCGACTTTTGATGAAGTGACAAATATTTGGGGAATTGTGAAAAACAATAAGTGTCCTAAGAGTGAGTAGCGTTTATGCAACAACCTTCATGAAAACAAAACATTTTTGAAAAAAAACAAGAATTCCTTGATAAAAACATTATTCAAAAACCTGAAAAAGACTTTCTTAAGCATGACAGGAAGATACTGACCAGCAGCTTTAGAGTTGTTAGCATTAGTGTGTCTTTTGGTGAATAGAACAAATTCTAAAACTATTGTTTTAGAATTTAGCTCAGCTACAAAACTATGGTTTTGTAGCTGAATGTTTTGACTCAGAAAATCTTCCCTCATATTTATTTATTATTTTTTATGCAGGATGTTATATAAAAATGTGAATAAAAACAAAGCACAGATAAAATTTGCAAATGGTTGTTCAACAAAAAAAAATTATATATATTATATATATAAAAAAAAAAAAAAAATTCCCTTCTCACCCACCGCGGGTGGTTCTTATCCTCTGAGCTCGGGTCCTCTACCAGAGGCCTGGGAGCTTGAGGGTTCTGCGCAGTATCTTGGCTGTGCCAAGGACTGCACATTTCTGGACTGAGATGTGATGTTGTTCCTGGGATCTGTTGTAGCCACTGCTCCAGTTTGGGGGTTACTGCCCCGAGGGCCCCGATGACCACAGGCACCACTGTGGTCTTCACCTTCCAGGCCCTCTCCAGTTCCTCCCTGAGGCCCTGGTATTTCTCCAGTTTCTCGTGCTCGTTTTGCCTGATGTTGCAATCACTTGGTATTGCTACATCTACCACAACAGCTTTCCTCTGTTGTTTATCCACTACGACAATGTCTGGTTGGTTCGCCATTACCATTTGTTGTCTGTCTGGATCTGGAAGTCCCACAGGATCTTAGCTCTGGCGTTCTCCACCACCTTTGGGGGTGTTTCCCACTTTGATCTTGGGGTTTCCAGTCCATATTCTGCACAGATGTTTCTGTACACTATGCCTGCCACTTGGTTATGTCGCTCCATGTACGCTTTCCCTGCCAGTATCTTGCACCCTGCTGTGATGTGCTGGACTGTCTCAGGGGCCTCCTTGCACAACCTACACCTTGGGTCTTGTCTGGTGTGGTAGATCTGGGCCTCTATTGCTCTGGTGTTTAGGGCCTGTTCCTGGGCTGCCAGGATGAGGGCCTCTGTGCTGTCCTTGAGTCCAGCTTTTTCCAGCCATTGGTAGGATTTACTGATATCAGCCACTTGGGTTATTTGCTGGTGGTACATCCCATGTAGGGGTTTGTCCTCCATGATGGTATCTCTGGCACCTCAACCTCCGTTCCCTGTTGTCTGAGACATTCACTGAGCACATTGTCTGTTGAGGCTTTGTCCCTGATGTATTTATGGATCTTAGTTGTTTCGTCCTGGACAGTGGTTCTCACACTCACTAGTCCTCTGCCTCCTTCCTTGCGGCTCGTGTACAGTCTCAGGGTGCTGGATTTGGGATGGAACCCTCCATGCATTGTTAGTAGCTTTCTGGTCTTAATATCTGTGGCTTTTATCTCCTCCTTTGGCCAGCTAATTATTCCAGCAGGGTATCTGATTACTGGCAAGGCATAGCTGTTTATCGCACGGATTTTGTTCTTGCCATTGAGCTGGCTTCTCAGGACTTGCCTTATTCGTTGGAGGTATTTAGCTGTGGCTCCTTTCCTTGTGACCTCATCGAGGTTGCCATTTGCTTGTGGTATACCTAGGTACTTGTAACTGTCCTCTATGTCTGCTATTGTTCCTTCTGGGAGTGAGACCCCTTCTGTGTGGATGACCTTCCCCCTCTTTGTGACTAGTCGACCACATTTCTCTAGTCCGAATGACATCCCAATGTCAGTGCTGTAGATCCTGGTGGTGTGGATCAGTGATATATATATATATATATATATATATATATATATATATATATATATATATATATATATATATATATATATATATATATATAAACTTTCAGAATTCAAAAATGCCTAAAAAAGATACAATTTTTTTTAAAATAATGACTGAGTTTTAAGTGTTAAGTGTTCTGAGCTGGTGAAAGATCATGCATGTATATTTAAATTAAAATTTCTATATCAACTTGATGATGGTTTTGCATGTCACGGTAACTTTACATTTCTAAATTGATGTAATTTTGTTTTCCCAATAAAAGACTATGGGGAATTAGCCAACACGTACATAATATTTAATATATCAGACAAGTCAAACATCAAATTGGATGGGTTTTTTTTTCCACTCTCTCGGGATCATCACCAATTGCACTGGATTTAGTAAAAAATCCCACCATATTTGCAAAAATAATTCAATGTGAATGATCTTTGCTGACTGATAGTAGTCCTAATGAAACACTTCCTGTTCATGTCAGATTTTATCTGATAAATGAATGAAGCAACTTGAGAAAAGCAATCAGTGGAGCATTCATTTAAGTCGTACATTAATAAACATATTTTTTTCTCAACTACTAATATTCTTCTGCCTTGTGAAATGTAAAATTTGACTCTAATTAGATTCCAAAGCGTGGGCAGGGTGCTCAGTTTACAAGACTGAAGAAGCATTTGCTTACACACAAAAAGTCTAACAGCCTTTTTTCTTCTTCTACTGTCTAGGAGTTCACCAAATATCTCATGTAATCTTCTGTATGAACATAAAAAATATCTCAGTGATTTTCTTCAGGCTCATATAATGATGAGACGAGCTCAACTAATTACATCCAATTAATAAATGACTTGCAATCAAACTAACTAGCATGTATGTGCAGAAATAAATTCATTTGAGCTTCATGTCACTGATATTTTGAGAG